CAGATTTCACTCCGCCCCTGTATTCAAACATGCTCAAATCCACCTTGTAAATAGCAGCTCTCAGAGTCTCACTGTTTGCATGACTTTCTGCATTATTTGCGATGACAATGTTACATATTATAGCAGAATATACATGGAGTGGGGTTAGGGTGGGTTGAACATTCTCAATATTTATGGGGCAGGTTTTGGCAGATTGAATGATAAAGGTTTAATGCTCAGGTTAAAATCAGTTCCTTGTTTAATGAAGAAACTTCACCTTCTCTCATTCAATTTCTCATTCCTTCTCCAACAAACATTTCAAATGAATCAACAACAAAACTTGGTTGTAATTTTTTTTTTCTTCACCAATGGCAATCACTAATCTCAAAAGAATTGATACTTGTTCTGTACTTTCATTTTATTACAAAATTCAGTTTTGCCTGGTACAATACTCCAAGTAAAGGGGACCCAGTGAAAATTGAACTCATTACAATAGTAATTGTAGGCTAGACGAGATTGTTAGACTTTATTCCACAGCAGCAGATGGTCACTCAGTAGAAGAACAAGGATTCATAAAGAAGGAGATTACCAGTGGAGGAATTTCAGTGTAATGGTAAAAAGGATAATTTAAAAATAGGAGAAAGAATTAAGGAAACCTGGGATTGTAAAGTGAGATGTGACTTGAAACTTTTGAGAACCAGATATACAATAAAATGCTCTCAAATTTTTAAATACATGATTACTTTTCTTTTTTTTTTTTTCTATTTTTTTTTTCATAAGAAACTACTAAAATTTGGGTAAATTTTAAGCAACTCCACTATTAATGTCAGTGTGGCTTAAGCAGGCTTAGGATCTGATGAAGCCTAGAAAGGCAAAATGTAGCAATGAAATGTTTTCCATTTGTCAAATTTCTTAAAATATATATATATATATATATATATATGAGAGAGAGAGAGTGAATAGTATGACAAATATTGATATATATATATTGAGAAAATAGTAAGACAAATTAGAAAAAAAAACAATTTTGTGACATGCTTCATCTGTTAGGACTTCATTCGAGTGGGTTTTGTTGACATTGCCCCAACTACACATGCACACAAAACAAGAGATGCTGGTAGTTTCAAAATTTTTGAAAGAATATTTTTTCAATCTAGCCAAATTCATCTATATTCTTTTTGCTTTTCTCTCCATCAGCTCTGTCCCTGACTATCCCACATTATGACAACAGAAAATCTGCCAAGAGCCTGGATGCATATTTACCATGGCTGAACTAGGGATCAAGGCCCTTTCCAGACATTTTCATCTTAGTGAATTATTTTCTCTTTTAATCAAAGTAGCATTCCCTATGTCAAAATTGTAGTCAGTTTCATTATAGTGAACAACCAATGTGTTTTGTATGTTATTCAAAATGTCCCTTTTATGTTCATATAGTTTCTTGTTTCTCCAATCTATTCATTCTGGCAATTCCTGCATTTGATAGAGTAAATTCCTCTTTCAAGTTTTGGCTGCTGGTTTTGTTTTTTATTGAGTAAATCCTTGATTGTTTCAGATGTATCAGGTCATCCCATAAGTTCTGTCCAAATTTTAACTTTTTGTTAAAATGAATGAAATTTAAAGAGTATTTTATAAATGTCTAATGGAGCTGAACATCATTTTTATGTTTAGATGCATTTAAACTGATAAAATTTTATTTCAGAGAAAAATAAAATAAAATTTTGTTTGATTAAAACCTTGCTAACATGGAAGTACCCAAGAATCATTTGAGGCACATAATGCTTTATGAGTTCAAGAAAGGAAACTCAGCAGCCGAAGCGGTTAGAAACATTCACTCAGTTTATGGAGAGGAATGTGTGAATGAAAGAACTTGCAGAAGATGGTTTGCAAAATTCAGAGGTGGAGATTTCACTCTTGAAGATAAAGATCGAACCGGATGTCCAGTTGAGTTTGATAAAAAGCTTCTTGAAGCAGCCCTTGAAGAAAATCCTGCTTTATCAGTTGAGGAATTGGCAGTGGTTCTCAGTTCAAACCATACAACTGTTCATCGTCAACAACTCGGAAAAGTTCCTAAACTTGGAAAATGGGTGCCTCATGAATTGTCTGAAAACAACCTCAAATCCTGAGTTGACATCTGCTCTTCTCTCCATTCTCGCCAACTTGTTTCACCTTTTTTGGATAGACTTGTGACTGGCGACAAAAAAATGGATCTTTTATCGAAATGTTAAGCATCGTAGACAGTGGCTTGGTAAAGGGGAAGGACCCCAGCCACAGCCGAGAAGGGAACTTCATGGGCAAAAGGTTCTTCTTTCAATCTGGTGGGATTGCCAAGGAATAATCCACTTTGAATTCTTACCACCTAATGCAACAATTAATGCTCAAATATACTGTCAGCAATTAGAGCGTTTGAACCAAGCTTTGAGGAAAAAAAGACCTGCTCTAGTGAATCGAAAAGAGGTGATGTTTCATCAGAACAATGCGCCACCCCACACAGCAAGAATCACGTCACAAAAGATCAAAGAACTTGGTTGGGAGAAAATTCCTCATCCACCTTATTCTCCCGATCTTGCTCCTTCAGACTACCATTTGTTTCGTAGCTTACAAAATCATTTGGAAGAAACAGCTTTTGTAACGCAGGAAGAGGTTAAAACTGACATTTGTGAGTTCTTCGAATCAAAGCCAAAAGAATTTTACAGTAATGGAATTAGTAAGCTTGTTAATAGATGGAAGGAAATCATAGATAATCAGTGGAAATATATTTAATTACAGATTCAATCAACAATGTAACATTTGGTCACTTGTTTTCTTTATTCAAAATTCGGACAGAACTTATGGGATGACCTGATAGTTGTGACAAATTTTATATTGAGTTTAGATATGTTCTTTTTGGTTGTAGTTGTGGGTAGAATAATAATTTTTTTTTTTTTTGATTCATTGGGTTTGTCAGGAAGGATAACTTTTCTATTCTGGAATATTTTATGAGTCTTTTGTTTCACACTGAATATGACTTTGTGTAAATTCTGAGTGCTCTTAAATAGAATCCAATGATCATTCCAGATATTATTTTGTTATGATGGGAATAGAAGTTAATTAGGTTATTTTTATTGGTTGATTTTCAGTGGGCACTAAGTTTTAGGCTGTTGTCAACTCAGTGTAACATGATGTCTAAGAAAGGTAAAGTATCGTTTTTTTCTATTTTGTATATAAATTCTATTGCATGTTTGAATATGTTTAGTTTATCTACAAGATCCGGTAAATTAGTATCATGGGGATATATTAATAGAGCATCATTAATATATCAGAAGTAAGTTGATTGTTTAGGTAAAATGTTTTGGAAACAATTAGACTCGAAAAATTCCAAGAAAATACATGCCATTAGTCTACTGAGAGGGGATCCCATTGGCAATCCAAATTTTTGTTTGTAATTGTTTTATATATAGCTGGCCACTCATATTTAAGGATACCAGTTTACTAGGGCAGCTAGACAATCCCTATTGCAGATGCTTGCTCAGGCACATTTGTGTTTATTCAACACCCAAAGAGCCCACCTGTGGTTTATACTGCAACTATGCTAAGAAGACCTTAGTTACAGTTTTTAGGAAAGAGCATGTTATCTAGCATGATAAACAATTTGACCAAAGCCAGCATGCTCAAGCCCTCAGCCACGATGACCTGTGACTTCGTCCGAGACATATATACATATATATATATATATAGGTAACTATACTCGCTTCAAAAAACCTTTGAATTTTTTGCCAATAATCAAATCAATCACAAAGAAGAAAAAGGTTTTAATAAAAGAAAGAGCTAGAAACATGAAAGTCTGTCAAAAAAAAAAAATCGCACAGATACAGGTTTAAAGCCCAAAGAAAAAACCCCGACACAAGTAAACAACTAACTAAAAGAGCTCAATACAACCGTAGAGCAGACCTAGATAAACCTAGTGAGCCAGACAAACCTACCCAGGTTTCACCTAAGTGGATCGTCAGGGAAAGCTGAAAATATATATATATATATACACACACACACAAAAAAAACAAAAGAATTGATGACTTTTAAACAATTTTATTGCTTCTCTCCTGTAATTGACAGGCAAACATAGTTGACATGAAAAGTACAGCTGCACTCAGTGCAGATCATTAAAGACATGAAAAAAAAATGCAAAAAAAAAAAACAACAAATGAAGTCAAAACTGGCTACCTTTCCTATTCCACACAAATGCAGTTTGGCAGTAGAGGTGCTTTGAGATGTTAAACTTTTTTTTTTCTTCTTTAACAACAAAAATAAGACAAAATTGCTCCCATAAATAATTCTTAATATCATTATAATCACAATTCTTACCAAAAAAAAAAAAAAAAAGAGGCTGACAGGTGAAAATCATGTTACATTACACATTTCTCACATTTCTTTCAAATTAACTTCATCTTGGTTGTTTTTAGCAAACTATCAAGCACCATCTATATTTTGAAAATGAGGAATTGTAGCTATTTACATTCCTTGACTTGTTGCCCTCATTTTTATTGCCATATTCACAACATTTTGTCTGTTGTATGCTCCAGCCTTCTTCAAGTGATATTTCTTTCTAAATAAAGATATCACCTGAAGAAGACCAAAGCATACAATGGCCGAAACATTGTGAATATGGCAATTAATATGATGACAACAGTCTGAACAATGTAAATAGTGTAGATAGTTATCAAGCAGTATATCTTTGGGTTTTCCATGTTGTCATATATGAAAACCTCCGAGGGAAAAGTGAACAGAAGACTTATTTCATTCCATGAACAAAGCAGTAAGGCAATACAAGGAAAAGTCTGCTATCTTTAGTAAATAAAAAAAAAAAGAAGTATATGAAAAAGGGCTTCATTAAATATTCCCTGCATATTACTGAATATTACAGACACCCGAAAAAGACCTTAAGGGTACAGTGGCTGAAACCAGGGTATAAAAAATTCCTTTGCTACATAAAATTTCTGCAGCATTGGGTTTGAAATTACAAAACAGCAAAGATTTTTTTTCTTTTTTTAATGAAATGGGGGGGAAAAAGGGGAGAGAAAAAGGGGAATAAGAGAAAAAAGAGAAAAGGGGGGGAGAAAAGGTGGAAAAAGAGAGAAAAAAGGGGAAAAAAAAGAGAAAAAAGGGAAAAAAAAAACAGAAAAAGAAAAAAGTGAAAAAGATATAAAGAAAAAGTAAAAAGAAAAGATAAAGAGAAAAAGAAAAAAAACAGAGGAAAATAATGAAGAACAGAAAGTGTGTGTGTGTATAAAAGTGCTCAACACTCCCCCACCTTGAAACTAAAGGCCAAATATGCAGTTGAAAACTATTTTGTTACAAAACTTTGCATACACTAAATATCACCTGGCCTCGGAATTCAGCTCATTGTATTTTCTCCAATACTTATTGGTATTTTTATAATTTTCAATTTCTGCTTTTTATTTTATTTTAGGAGTTATGGATTTTACACACTTCAATTTATTTCTTTACAAAACAAATTTGAATTCAATCCCTTTACTTCCAAGATTTAATACTTAAGAGTTATTTCTAACAACTGTGCTGTTTTTATTAAGAGAAATGACATCTTTAATGTATGCAGAGATTAAACTGACAAGTTAGTTTGAAACCAAAATGTCAATATTTTTGTTCATGGCGGAAACACAAATCTTTACACTAGAAGACTGACAACTCAGATTTTTTTTTTTTGTTTTAATTTTAAATATCCAGCAATACAAATTAAAAAATTGTTTTGATCCAACCAACCAATTCATCTCCCACTCCAAAAAAACAAAAGTGTAATGTTATGTGGATATTGTAAATATTGAATTAACCGTTGGAAATCTAAGGCATAAAACTGAAGATTTTCTGTTGAATTAATTAGTTTCATTGACTCAGCAAAGAACATAGAACCTCCAGCTTTCAAAAATAACAGAAAATGTAGAGAAAGCACTAATACTTAGGAAATTGATTTAATTTTCAATACAGAAATGAGAACTTTCAGGCACTTAAAACTCTGTAAGAAATTGATGAGTTGCAGGAAAGATTAAAAGATGAATGCTATTCCATCTAGAATTCCAAGATGGGTCATTATCATTCCAAGAAGTTGCTCAGGCAATTACTCTCATTCTTACTGTTGCTAACATAAATGATTTCAGCCATTAATAAGACAACACTTTATTAGGTTGGAAAAAAATTCTGGACTATAGACTGACTGGAGTTAAAAAAAAAACAGTTGGTTTAATGTCCATACTAACTGGCACGTTTGGAATAATATACTGAAAACACTAGAATATAGAATTTCAAGGAAGGGACGAGCCTATCAAGATAATGATAATCTAAATTTGGCCAGAATACTGAGGAAGGTACTGGAGATTTGAAGAGATTTGCTGTCACTTGATCCTATACTGTTGCAAACATGAAAATGCATAAAAGAATACATTCTGTAAACTCAAGATGTTGTTTAGACAATTGATCCCATTGTTTGTTGGTACCACAAGGTTTTTCCCCAATCCATTCTCTTGCCTTCCTCAAATGGTCAATTGAACACTTAAAGAACAGATTGGCTGAAATGTAGTAGTAAAAAAAAAATAAAAATAAATCAATTCTCAGCATGGGACTGCATTTCAGAAAATGTTTTAACTTGAAATTTTTTTGTTTTTTTTAATTAAAGCTCAGGTGTATAAGTTATGTATAATTATGAATTGAGTGCACAAGAAGAAGTATATTAGATCGCAAATAGTATAATGGTGTTTTCTTTTATAAATTATATTTTGCACTTAAAAATATAGTGCAGAGTTAATTTTTGGAAGCATTCAAGCTGAGTGTGTAATATAATGGCAACTTCTTTTAATAAGAGTAAATTTTTTTTAAATTCAAAGATTCTGATAATAATGAATAAACTTCTCCTAAATACAGTGTTTTTTTTTTAAAGATTTACATTTTATTTAACTTTTATTTCTGCCATTGCAATGATGTAAGTATTTTCTAATTGTTTTCATAAAAGATTACTTGTTACAATAATTGTTATGGAATCTGATATTTTCTGTAAAAACTACCAAAAATCAACTTTGGATATTTTTTTTTTTTAAATGCAAAAAATACTACCCTCCATTTTAATGAATACATTCAAATAGTTTTTTGATAAACTGTGGATCAAAGGATAACTTAAGAATAACAGAGGTATTCTAATCTTAATATTTATCAGAGGAGATGACAAAAATTTGCAAGATTTGTTCAGTGTTTTGCAGCATCCCAAAGTCCAGAATACAATAGGAGGTTGGAAAATTTTTCTTAGCCAATGCATTTCATCCTCTGATGGACTTTATAAAGGCAAATGTAAGGATTTTATTTTGCAACAAGTATTTATAAACAAGTATTTATAAACAAAAGTAAAAATCTTGTTAATTTTTGTAAAATTTTTAAACTCAAGAATGCTCATAGATATGCTTCAAGCTGATGGAAAGTCAAGGTAAACTATGGATGATACAAAGTGAAGTAATTTAATGCCAAATAAACAAAAGTAAGTAAATGTTGTTATAGAGGATGTCGAATTTTTTTTTTTTATAATTATTATTTATTTTAGTTTATTTTAAGAAATTAATCTATGTATTTATATATTTTAAATAATATGTTTTGAATTGAACAGTTTTCTTTTAATTTTTGGAAATTCTTATAGTCATGTATGTTGGCTTGGGAAAGGAGTCTATCTTTTAGGAAAGGAGAGAGTTAAAAAATAAACATGGTGCAGATTTATATTTTGGAAAGGTTCAATAGTGGCATTCTCAAATTTTGAAAAACTAACAACATTTGCCTTGATAAAATCCATCAAAGGATGAAAGGTGTTGGCTAAGAAACATTTTCCTTTTGTCTTCATTCATATTGTCTTTTTATAGATATATTTTTAGTTATGTCTGAATATGAATATATATATATATATATATATATATATATATATATATATATATATATATATAGGTTATGACTTTTTGTAAAATATTTGATTTCCATATCATAATTTGATGAACTTTGTTAAAAAAAATAAGGAAGAGTTTAATTCAGTTTATTTATTTTTTTTTTTTAAATGTCCCCTCCAACACAAAATTTATAAAAATCGTATATAAGTAGTACTACGTCTTTCTGGAGCCTTCTAGAATTTGTTTTGTTTATTTGTAAGTTTGTATGTTATGCTATAGCTATAAACTGTTACATGCATAAAATACGTAAGTACTATCCAATTACATGATTAGCAAATTGAAAAATAAGGCTTTTGAAGTATTTTGATTTTTTACTGTTATTATGTGCATGGTAAAATCGAATTTTCAGTTTGGGAGTGACCTTTTTCAAGAACTAAAACAAATTAATGGCTTTTTACGTTACTTTTGAACAAATGTTCATTGATTTATGACACAGGAACATAGGGTTACAAAAAGTCATAACCCTAATATATATATATATATATATATATATATATATATATATATATATATATATATATATAGTAATGATATTTGTATTGTTATGGAATTTCAGGATATAGATTCAGGGAGAGCTCTACATCAAAAGATAGAGCAAAATTATAATTAATTAAAGAATATCAAACACTTAAAATCCCATTAGTAATAATTTTTATTTCATGAGAGCTCTTAAAAGAGAAGCAGCTGTTAATCTTCAAGACCTACAAACACATTACAAATAAAATGGAAAAAATATTCCGGGTTCAAAACAAGAGATATTGTTATCTTATTTAGAGAGTGGGAAAAGGCCTAAAAGTATTGACCTATTTTGACATACTGACCTCAGTATCTTATTGAAGATGGTGGAAGGACTTAAAGTGTAGTTAGTTCAGTTTTAATTGGAAACAATCCCGGCTAGTTCTGTCAATGGCCAAATCCTCAAATAACATACTGAGGTCAGTATATCAAAATAGGTCAACAATCTCCGTCTTTGCCCACTCTCTAAATAAGATAACAATATCTCTTGATTTTAACCCAGAGTATATTTTTTCCATTTCATTTGTGATTTGTTTGTAGGTCTTGAAGATTGAGAGCTGCTTTTTTAGAGCTCTCATGAAATAAAAAAATATTACCTATGGGATTTTAAGTGTTTGATATTCTTTAATTAATAATATATATTTTCATTCACATTTAACATAAAAAATTAGCCAGATATATCTGTGAATACACAAACATTCTATATATATATATATATATATATATATATATATATATATTCACTGTTAACAGTTATACATTCTTATACTTTCAAAACAGCAATTGGGAGGAAGCAGGAAAATTCAAATAATGTATATATCAAAGATTCTAAACTTTTAATTAATCTAAAATATACATTCATCATCCATAACATAGTATGGAAATAATAAGCATATTATTTTCATTAAGAGAAAACGTTTTACTTTTTTAATATATATATATACACACATACATTATATATATATATATATATATATATACACACACACACATACATACATATACATATTAGTCAAACCTAGAGAGCCAGACAAACCTACCAAGGTTTCACCTAAGTGGATCGTCAGGGAAAGCTAGGTCTGCTCTACTTTTTGAGTTAGTTGATTACTCGTATCGTGGTTTTTTTTTCTTTGGGCTTTGGACCTGTATGCTGTACGATTATTTGACAGACTTTCATGTTTGTAGCTCTTTCTTTGTTTTAAAACCTTTTTTTTCCTTCAAGATTGATTTGATCATTAGCAAATCAAGAAACCAAAGGTTTTCTGAGACGAGTGTAGTTACCTATATATATATATATATATATATATATATATATATATATATATATTCAAAAGGGTTAAGCATTTGAAGTTGAAAAGAGATCTTCGAAAAGGTGATGCAGACTCAATTGCAGAAGATATTCAATCTGAGCTTCTATGTAACTTCTGCCAGATTTTCTAGTCATTGAAGATCACATGAAAATCAACAGTCCAATATTGGTTATGCGGATGTCTTTTCTGACAGATCTGTAAGGTACTCATGTCAGTTTAGTAATAAAATTTGTAAATCTGCCACCAGTCTCCACAAAAGTCTTTTGTGTATCATATATAAAACAAGATATGCAGGAGTGAGGCTGGTTTGCAAAGTTAGCTGCACAATCGTGGCCTATAAGCCAGAATTCTTTGTTTTTTTCTTATTTTCTTATTTCAGTTAAATGTTCTTTATTTTGAAATTATTGGTTAATAAATAAATCTGTTCAGTTCCAAACATTTCATAAGTGATTTGTTTTAATTTCTATATTTAAGTTTTTCTATTTAAATTATCCAAATTAATATTCTATAAATATTTTCAGGATTATTTCTCAATCTATGTTCCATAATTATTACTCATATTACAAAAATTCGTAACTGGTCAGCTGTAGCCTAAAAGCTATGTATGGATATAAGTGCTCAACATCTTCATTTGATAAAAAAAAAAAAAAAAAAATGATTTCATAACAAGGTTACAAAGAGGTTTCTGATTTTTTGTGAATGCAGTTTATGACTAAAATGGGACCAGCCATTGTCCGCCTTTATCTAATTTTATGTTTACATTAATAATTTTGCAAACTCAAACATTTGTGCCCACAAAAAAAAAAGTAGAGTGTTAAAAGAACACTTTTTTCCTTTGACATTACGCTTACTGTTATAAAAAGTGAGGATTAGAATTGTAACAAAACCTAAACTTATGATAAAAGGGATTTTATACATTTTCTCTCTTCTTGAGAATTAACAACAAAAATAATAAACACTATTTTAGATTGTTTATTTACACTATTTATTAGACTGTTTACTGGAATGGTTGGCAAACCATGGGCTAATTGCCAATTGATTCAAACTTTATAAAATGGTAAATAATAAGGATTCCCTTAGGGTTGGTTCATATTTTTTAATAATTTAGTAAATATTTATAAATTTAAAAATAAAAAATTGTTTTCATACTTATTTCTTTATAAATTGGTAAATGATAAATATCGCATTGTATTAATTCTAATTGTATTAAGGTTTTCTAGAATGTTGTGAATATATAATTATTCTTGTAACTCTAATAAATAATGCTTAATATTTTTGTTGTAAATTCTCAAAGACAAAAAATATATGAATTCACTTTCATAAAGTTTAGATTTTATTACAATTCTAATCATTGCTTTTTCTAACAGTAACATTGCTGAGGAGTGAAGGTAGTTAAAATAATAGTGGTGTCAATGGAAAAACTGTTCTTTTGACACTCCGTTTTTTACAGGAATAAAGGTCCAAGATTGCCAATAATTTATTATATTGCAAGTTTGAGAATGCGAAAAATCTTTTCACCGCCTTCTTTTTCTACAGTTGTTCTATGACCACAAGTGTCATTGACCATATAACTCCTAGACTGCAATTCAAGATTGGTCTATTGATACAGAATACATAAGATATTAATGGTGAATACAATTCTTTAGGCAGCTCTCTGCCTAGTTATTTCAGTATTATTAAACGAGTCCGTGAATCACAGCCTTTTCTGAATCATTCGGGTACAGTTGTAATAAATCAATGCTTTAATTCAAAGATTACTTTTTGAATGAGACATTATTGAAAATTAATTTTTCATATTTTATATTTTGCAAGGTTCTTAATCCTTTGAGACAGAGTTACTCCTGTATCATGTCATATCAGCTAAATATCTCGTCAGCCACTCCAAGACAATCATTGTTATCACCATATCCTTAATCTTTATTATTTCAGTCTAAGACGATGCAAGATAAATTTCTTGTGAGATATCTTGCCAATTGCTTTCAAATGGTTAAAAATATCACCCACCAGCTCTACATTAACAATAAAGCCAGAGATGCTAACAAGAAGACTAATTGCTAGGGAACATCTTTTTCTTGATGAAAATTGTAGAGATTAAATTTCATAGAACTTGAAATAAAAAAAAATTAAAATTAGAAATTGTAATCAATACAAATAATTTTTTCACTACAAATTTTCATCTATTCAAAAAGATAGTTGAAAAAAAAAAAAAAAAACAAAAAAAAACACTTATCAATCTATAACCACTAAAGCTGTATAAATAATATTTTTTTTAGTTAGAGAAGACTTGTAGAGATTAAATTTTATATAGCTTGCCCCCCCAATGAAATTAAAAATTAGAAATAATGCAGATAATTCATTTTTAAAAGATTTATTTCCACAATAAAAGTTTCATCTTTTCAAGAAATTAAAGTTAGAAATTGGAAACTATGCAGACAATTTTTTAAAGACTTTTTTTTTTCACTATAAAAGTTTAATTCAAAGATTATTTTTTGAATGAGACAGTATTGAAAATTAACCTTTTGTATTTTTATATTTTACAAAAAGAGTATTTTATATTTTTGAGAAAGAGATATTTTTACACCATGTCATATTGGCTAATTATCTCGTCAGCTGCTCCAAGACAATCATTGTTATCAGCATGTGGGAATTATGAAGAAACTTGAAAAAAAAAAAAAAAAAAAAAAAAAATTAAAACTACTTAATACTTAAATACTTAACACACTAAAGCCGCATAAATAATTAGAATAAACCTTACCAATGTGAAGTCACCAAGTCACCATGAATTGGTTAATTGGAACTAGTAGAAATATCTTTCTGAATTTCTGGGATGCAAAGTTATCATTATTTATGTTCGGACTAATGTCCTTATCTTTATTGTTATTATTACAACATTTTGAAGCTCCAACCTTTTTCAGGTGCTTGTTGATCTGGCTAACCTTGAGAGAATTTTAAACTGACCACTTTATTTAAAATATGTGAGTAAATTGTTCTTGTTCCACTACCCATGTCTCGGGATATCTCATCTTTTTTTTGTTTTTAGTATTGTTCAGTTATCAGTAATTGCTCACCCTATTCTCTACTGAGTCTTAGTCTCTACTGCCTCTACACACATTTACTAAATTCATAAACCAATGATTTAATCTAGTAGGTTAGTGGATAAAAGGAAGCCTAATCGGTTAAATCATTGGTTCATAATCCTAACAACAAAGATGAGAATATTAGTCTGTATGTAAATAATGCAAATTGTAACAATATGTTACATAAATTATTTACTTGTAAGATAATGTTAGTGAATTTCTTAAAAGAAAACGGTTCAACATAAAGATCCTGTTTTCTATTTATAGCAACCTCTTTACTAGCAAGTAATCAAAAGATAAAATCATCTTCACATATTGGGGAGGGGGGGGTTGATGAACAAGAAGGAAATAAAAACATGTCTAATTTTTGGTTTGATTTTGCAAAGCATAATTGTGCCAAAAATCGTTTCACATATATTTTAATTCAGCTAAAAAACAATAAGGATTAATGACAGCATTTTTTGTTTGATTAATGGCAGGTGTCATTGAAATGATAATTCATTGCACTAAAAAAAAAAAAAAAAAAAAAATATCAGCCCCCCAAATGACACCCCTACCTATGAGATAATACTGGAAGAGAGAAAGACAAAAAAAAATGATTCTTTTGCATCTTTTGATGTCATTTCAACTTTCATAACAGTAAAAGTAAATTAACATTTACACCTGTGACCTAAGAACCTCTTATAAATGTGATCATGAGACTTTCAAATGAAATAATATATATATATATATATATATATATATATATATATATATATATATATATACAAAATATTGCACATTGAGTGCTAGTGCTAATAAAATAGTGCTTGATGTATAATAACAGAACTATAATTTATATTAATAATAAATATACATTTTTTTTCTTTTCATTAATATAACAATTCTTAAACTGAACAATGCAATCATCAGGTGCTGGTTGAAAACTGAAAAGTTCTCAATCAGCACCTGACAATTGCATTGTGCAAGAATTGTGCTACTGGTGAAGAAAAAGAAAAGTATTATTATTATTAGCAGAGGTCATCAAGTCATATTTTCAAGCTGGAAGGCTTGACAAATACCCAAAATGTTTCATATTTTTCTCCAAATATGGCTCTTGAGCCAACGTAGTTTTTTTTTTTTAATAACGGATATTGTTGATATAAAAATTAACAGTCTATAAAACATCGAAATCATCTTGAAATCAAGAAATATACTGTATTTATAATGACTTACAAATGTGAATATACATTGATATATACTGTAGAGGTCTTCAGCTTATATTCTCATGTTGGGAGGCTTGTCAAATAGCCCAAATTTTCCATATTTTATAACTGGTATAAAAATTAATAGGCATCTTGAAATCAAGAAATAAATTGTATTCATAACAAAGGTGAACCAATGTATTAGTGGAAACCTTGAGTCACTCTGAATAATGAACAAATTTAAGCCCTTTACTTCAACATGACCCACAAATCCTGTGATGTCAATGGCAGTTCCACAACAAGCCAAAGGGATCCAATATTTACAATTTATTATTTTATACAGGAAATGAAAATGGTGACAGCTTTCGATGATTTATGTTTTCTCTCTTGGTCCAAATCACTTGCTGTCAAATCCAAAGATGCAGGCCTAAGGGTCATAATGCAATGACTGCACCCCCCCACCACCACCACTTAATCCTTCCCCTTTTACATTCTAATGACTTCTTCAAGTCTTCAAGTTGAGCTTGGGGTGAGGGAAGAGTTGAATTATTAAAATCTCAGACTGCATTAGTCTGCAATATCAGAATCCAATCTTCCAAAATGGTGTAGTGTGGATGGCTTTCAAAGAAAATAAAAAATAATTTAAAAGAAAATAATAAACAAAAAAAAGAACAGAAAAATGTTTAAAATGAAAAAAAATTAAATGGAAAAATAATGATTTAAAATGTTGGGAACAACCACATAGCTATGATAAATTTGGCATGTAAAATCCTTAGTGGACTGGCAACCATCTGAAAAATAATTAAATGAAAAAAATAAAATGATTTACAATGATGGGGATAAGCACATAATTGTAATAAATTTGCCATGTAAAATCCTCGGTGGACTGGCAACCAGTTGAAAAAAAAAAAGAAAAGAAGAGAAATGAAAAAAATAAAAGAAATGAAAAAAGAAAACAAAAGAAATGAAAAAAGAAAAAAAAGAAATGAAAAAGAAAAAAAAGAAATGAAAAAAAGAAAAAAAAAGAAATGAAAAAAGAGAAATGAAAAAAGAAAAGAAATGAAAAAAAGAAAAGAAATGAATAAAAAAAAAACAAATCACATTTTAGTGGAATTTTTTGAAGCCAGTGTTCAACTTGAAATTACTTATCTTCTTTGTTTGCAGATTTCAATGAACGCATAATGATTGGCGGGAAATTTTTTTTATCAATTCCATCAAGCAGAGGAAAAGCAGGCAAGTCTTCAGATTTCCCTTCATCTTTGAACTGCTTTTGGTCTTTCGTCTGCATCAACACATCTCGCTTGTGACGAACACCGTGTTCCTGGTTCAAATGGTCCCCCTGACTGTTTTTCTCCTGATTGGGTTTGTTAGTCTCTTTTTCTTTCTTCTCTGTATCCTCCAGCATTAAATGCCGCCCCTGCTGGTTGGCTACAGGCCTATTCACCTGGGCTACTTGCTGCGGTTGCTGCTGTTCTGGTTGGACGGCCATATGGACTTGTGGAGAGAAAGATAGTTTCTGGGGAACTGGCTGCAGTTTCAAATTACCCGGGTCTCTCTGAAAGAAAAAAAAAAAAAAACATTGACATATCAGACACAAGCTGAATACTGTCTCAATGAATGAAAACAAAATACATACCCCTTAATATCTCTCCTCCTCAACACCTATGGCCATATCAAGCTGAAACAACAATTCTTATATGATAACCAAAGTTAAGCAACATCGAGCCTGGTCAGTACCTAGATGGGTGACTAATACCAGGAGTAAGTTTGAACGTGAAGGTGGTGTAATGGATAACGACTCAAAATTGGAAATTTTCAGTTCAGTTTGTTATATTCACTTATGCACAAATACCCTGGGGAAAAGTATGAATCCATCTCTTCTTCCCCCAGCAATGGATTAATTAGTAGGACTTGTATCAGTAAATCATTATTGCCGCCAAAAAAATTCTTACAAAATAAAATGATTTTCTAGCTTTAAGTAAAATACAAATTGTTGATAGGCTGTAAAAAAATAAAGCAATCAATCAACCTTGTTACCTTGACAACATGAATTTAAGCATATTACTTGATTGGCAATTAGGTCTCATCATTTTACTGTTGAACTAGCTAGATGTAGCCATAAGTTTTAACCTAATAGTTTCTTTTTCTCACACAGCTCACCTGTGAAACTTTCTTCTGGTTTCTTGCTTTTCTGCTCCTACAATTTTCAAAAATTTAAATGCAATGCCAATCACCATCTTCTCTCTTCCTGGATCCTGTTCTTTTATTGCACTTACTTCTCACTAAAGCTTTCTCATTCTTTTTCATTCTTGCAACTTATTGGTATTATCATCTTACTTGGGGTAAAATGATTAAAAAAGAAGAAAAACTTTAAAGTACTCATCCTAAAAAAAAGTGATGTGACATTATCATTTACTGAATAAAGTTTCTTATTCCTTTCATTGTTCTTTGACACAAATAATTATCCAGTCTTCTGTAGTTTCTAGGTATTTTTGTAAGACAGTTCTAGTTGAACTAATCCTCTGCCTCCTTCAGAGCAGGACACAGATGATCAACATTTGGGTATGATGGTATTCCATTATTAAGATGCATTATTTCATTGGCCTTCAGAAACTATAACATATAATTACTCTGATAAACCATAACATATAAAGAAGTGGTCAAAAGCCCATTTGACAATAGACACTACAGACAATTTTTACATTCTCTTATCACCACCAAACAAAAAAAATGTAAAAAAAATTCATCATTATAATATATATATATATATATATATATATATATATATATATAAAAAATTATAGAAATATAGTTTGAAGGTATGCTATATTTATGGGTTAAAGTGCTCAATATCAGGCAAATATTTGTAAATATAAAAGTGGATATTGAAGTCAACACCCACCAGTGACAGTCTGTTTCAGGCTTAAACACAATTGTCATACCTGACAATTGGTTTTAGCCATTGATGGATTTCTGTCTTTGCCAATTTCACTCACAGGTAAACCCATGGTAAGGTTTGCAATCCCTTTTCAAAAGGTGCCACATGCTGAGATTGACCCCCCCCCCCAGACTGATAACATCAAGTCACCTTCCTGACAAATTGACCATGGTGAGGATTTAAACCTGAGCCATGGTCAGCAAATGAATGTTCAAACCATTTGGCCATGCACACACACACACAGATAAAATAATAAGATTTGAAAATACACTTGTTTTATATATTTACATGTAATATAATTATTATAATTCTTTTACTTTACAGGTTTTGCTGCGTACCTTTACAAAAGATTGTTTCATAGTTTTTAGATGTTTATTGGATTATCAGGTAATCAGATAAACATTTAAATTAAACATTTTATTCTGAAAACCTATGTGTTTTCATAAATATTACATAAATATATAAAGCATCAGGTGTATTTTCAAATCTTATTTTCTCTACATAACACTCCTTTGTAAATAGGTATTTAACAACAACATACACATGCGCAATGTATAAAAAGGTGAATTAAAAATTACCTGTTGAATTAAATTCGATTGAGGATGATTGTCTGATGGTAGCTCTTTTGCAACCTTTTGATTGTTGAAAATCACATTTGGAACATTTGCTTTTATTTCTTTTAATAACTTGACAGTTTTTCCTTGCTGGGAACCCAAATTAGCTGCAATGTCCTGTTGAAGAGGATTTTGCTGAGGGACAAAATTTTTATGTGCTTGAATATTCTGCTGTCCTGCTAGATTCTGCTGGGGTATAGCATTTTGCTGTAATATTAATATTTGTTGTGTGGCCAAATTTTTCTGGGGGATCATATTCTGATGAGGCACTACATTTTGTTTGGGAACAACATTTTGTTGAGGGGCTACAATATTCTGTTGGGGTACAGCATTCTGCTGAGGGACCATCTTTTGCTGTGGGACAATATTTTGATGGGGCACAATATTTTGCTGAAGGGCCATATTTTGTTGGGGAGCCACAATATTCTGTTGGAGTACAGGATTCTGCTGAGGGATCATCTTTTGCTGAGGGACAATATTTTGATGGGGTGCAATATTTTGTTGAGGAACCACATTTTGCTGGGGTAAAACATTTTGCTGTAGTACAGCATTTTGTTGAGGAACCACATTTTGCTGGGGTAAAATGTTCTGTTGTGGTAGCATATTTTGCTGGGGTAAAACATTTTGCTGAAGGGGTATATTTTGTTGAGGCAGAGCATTTTGCTGAGGCATAACATTTTGCTGAGGGGCAATATTTTGCTGGGGAATAACATTTTGCTGAGGGACTATGTTTTGAGGTGCCTTTGGTTCTTGATTTGCATTAATAACTGGCTGAGGAATAATCTCTTGCTGCAGTTTAGGCAAGGCATTTCTCTGAACATCAGCCACTGGAACCCCTCTGCCTTCCTGATCATTGGGCTTGTTTTCAACCTGAAAACAAAACAAAATAAAAATTCATCTATCACATTATCAGTTCTGAATGTTTTGGAAATTTACAGAATACACAGTATTTGCCAGCTTTATGAGATGTTTATAATTTATTCATTTTTTAGTGTTCAATCTCCCACCCATCATACCATCACAATGCAATGGATACAGTGTAGCATGCATCTCACCCTGAATTATGCCAGAATAGAATTTACACTCAAATCAGACATGATGAAAGAAACAGGATTTCAGGTTGACCTGAGGTGGCATCTCAGCCGCCAAGTGCAGAATCACATGACTTTAGAGCTGCACCTGGGTTGCTTGCATAGGAAAGAATTTTATTACAGGGAGTTATATAAACACCCACCCCACGGAGGAGTTGTGTAGTCTTTCAGATATCACAGATGTGAATGTAAGGTCAACATTCAGAAAAGGGTTCTTGGACAACACACATACACACACAAACTGAGTGTAATTGAAGCTTTAATTTGAATAGTATATTGTTATAGGTCTACACCTCTCTGTTATTATAGTAATAATAATAGTCCAGAGCTCCTGATACATATCTAGAGATCCTTGATAAAAAAAATCATTATTATTGGGCCTGATCTAGCACCTCAGCTTCAGTCACTTTCCCACCATTCTAAAGTTGCCTCCCCTACTGTAGCTTTCCTATAAATATTTTCATTGTAATTGTTCAGACGAGCTGTTTGCTATGGTACCTAGACTTTATGAATTTAAGTACAGTACTAGACCAGCATCGAAGTCTCATCAATTTACAGCCAAGTTGGCTAGACGTAACTGTAAGTTCTATGTTAACAATGTCTTCTTTACTTGCATTTTTCAAGAGATTTATGAAGAATCTGCTATTTCTTTTTAGAGATACCAATAATGAGTGATTTAAATCCCTTAAGGCAGGCAAGAGGGAAAGGATTATCCACCCTTCCTTAAAGATTAAAGAAGTTAGAATCCAGTTTAAAATATCAAATGACAAAGAATCTGACTTAGATGTAGAAGCCATGTTCATGGTGTCTCTAGCATTTTAAAAATAAAGATTTTTTTAAAATATAAAACTAATTCATAAATTAATCTTCTGTCAGCTTGGGTTGCATCTGGCTACCTTTCAGGGTGCATTAGGACACCCAGCCACACCCGTTGAAAAACTGTAGTCTAGACATACAACTTAACGGACTTCATTCAGCTTTTCAACACTTAATTTTTTTCACTCATTTTTGAAACATCCTACACTGTGATAGAGCTGATTTGTTAAGAAAGGTAAAATGGAATATGAACCTAGATGCAAATTTACCTTGGATACACTTACAATTTTCACCTTATTAAATTACTTCCGCATTTAATTAAAACTGCATTCTTTAAGTTGCTTGGGGTGAAATGATTAAAAAAAAAATAAATAAAATATATAAACCAACAACATACACACAGAGAAATATATGGAACCATGCAAACACATGCACATAAATGAATAAACCACGCAAACACACGTACATGAATGAATTGCAAAATAGACATGAATTGAATAGACCACGCAAACACACGTACATGAATTGAATAGACCACGCAAACACACGTACATGAATTGAATAGACCACGCAAACACACGTACATGAATTGAATAGACCACATAAACACACGTTACATGAATTGAATAGACCACGCAAAAACACACGTACACATGAATTGAATAGACCACGCACACGCAAAACACACGTACACATGAATGAATAGACCACGCAAAAACACGCCAAACACACATGAATGAATAGAACCACGCAAAAACACACGTAACAATGAAATACAAGTGAAGACCACGCAAAACACACGTACACATGAACGAACCCGAATTGAATGAAGAACCACGCAAAACACACGTACACAAGTGAACGAACCACGCAAACACACACGTACACAAGTGAACGAACCACGCAAACACACACGTACACAAGTGAACGAACCACGCAAACACACACGTACACAAGTGAACGAACCACGCAAACACACACGTACACAAGTGAACGAACCACGCAAAACACGTACACGTACGCAAGTGAACGAACCACGCAAACACACACGCATACAAGTGAACAAACCAAAAACACACACGCACGCAAGTGAACAAACCACGCAAACACACACGTACACAAGTGAACAAACCACACAAACACACACGTACACAAGTGAACAAACCACACAAACACACACGTACACAAGTGAACAAACCACACAAACACACACGTACACAAGTGAACAAACCACACAAACACATGCAAAGTTGATAGATAATCCAATTTACTTACTATTTTATCTTTATGTTCTTCTTCTCTATGTTTTTTCAACTCATTCAAAAGTTCTCGTTGTTCTTCAAGAATCTTTTTCTGTTCTTGCTGTTGTTCTTCCAATTTATGCAACAATTCTTCTTGTTTCTTCTCTCCTTCTTGCTTTTTGATTTTGGCATCATCTTTGCTTGATTTATTTTTTTCCACATCCTTTACAACATCCTTAGCAACATCCTTAGCAACCTGGCCATCACCATTGAGACCATTGCCGTGTGCCTTTACAAGAGCTGCTGCTGCTGCTTCCTCCTTTTTCTCATTCTCTAATTTTTTGTTGGCCTCTGCAGCTTTTTGTTTCTCATTGCTTTGGTCAACATCCTGAAGACAGATTATAAACAGACATTCAGAGGGAGCTGTAGTGTTTCTGATGGGATGGATTAATGCTAGGCAGTTAGACAGGAGCTTCAACTCTTAATAAAGATAGAGATTAATGCCAAACAGACAAATAGTTGGGGTCTGGAGATTTTGCAACAGATTAATGCCAGGCTGTCAAATCAACCAGAGGTGGGGGAATGCCGGTGACTTTATGATAGGATAGATTAATACTGGGCAGATAAAGGTAAGGAAGTGGGGAGCTGGAAAGTTTCTGAGGTGAGAGATTAATCCCAGGCAGTTAGACAAGTGCCTGGAGTCTTTACAGGGATAGAGATTAATGCAAGACAGTCAAATGGTTGGGATGTTGTTGTTTGACCGATTTTTTTTTGGCTGCTTATCAAACCTTTGTGGGTTATTTAAAACCGAAACATATTTTGAATTGTAAGAATATTTCTTTTTTTTCAATGAATATTGCATTAACAATTTTTTTGAGAACTGATTTTTCCAGATAAAAGTCCAGCTATTTAACCCATTCTGAGCTGCTTATCATTACACCAACTACCTGGTCAGGGAGGTTTGGCTTGGGAATTTTATGTTTGAATAGATTAATGCCAGGCAATTAAATAGTGGAGATAAGCATTTGAGATATTTACACAAGACAAATTAATATGTGGTAATCAAATGAAGGTTATCTGCTTTTCAAAGGAACAATCTTAAAATGACAGTCAATTGAAGATCTAGTGTTTTGTAAGCAGATAAACTACATGAGTTAAATGGAAATAACTGAGATATCTGGAAGAGGCATGACACGTGGAACTAGAACAATCTACCTCGGTGGACAAAATAAAGGGTTCGGTTTGAAATTCCAATCACCTGAAAAGGCTGGAGTGTACAACAGCTGAAACATTGTGAATATTGCAATGAAGATGAGGATAAGAGTCTGAGTAATGTAAATAATGCAAGCAATATAATTTTATGTATGACTTAGCTGTATAAAAGTCTCTGAGAACAAAGCATGTTTGTTATTCCCTTTCCTTTCAGTCATTCTGTTCTGTCTGTGAAATACAGTGTTATTATAATAGGGATGTAATAAAGCCCATAATGGGGGAATTACAAATCGAAGAATAAACATTTTTTTTCCATGGTGATGCAACTGGTGATGCAATATATTATTAACCTCCATAATTTGGTGACTTACCAGACAATATATTATTTACCTCCATTACACTCATCATTAAAGGACATTAAATTTTTTGCTACTGGTTAACCATCAAATAATATTCATTACATAACATTCCTTTCTTGAAATTTGCACCTTGTCTTCATTTTGTCTCCTGCAATGACTAACAGCTGACTTTTAGGAATGCTATTTTAGTCACTGGGAAATCAACATTGCTTTGAACCTGAGATATCAGTGAAAAAAAAAAAAAAAAAACACTGAAGATGTCAATTATTTAACTTTTTTTCAATTCTCTTATTTTTTCATTTTCTTTTTAATTAATTTTATAGTCAATGAATAGCAGCTGAATAATTTTTTGAATCTGTAAGCTTTCCAGGTTTTGATTTATTTTACCATTCATTTTCTTATAGATGTTTGCAATTACCAGAAGTATTCTATCATTCTTCTATAAATATACATAATTGATACAATCAATCCATAGAATATCTGTAGTTCATAAAAAGAAAACATTTCTTACAGGCAGTTCATCTGGTGGTTTTGGAATTGGAGGCTCATGTCTATGGGCATCTTTATCTAAAGAAAAAAAAACAATCAATCAATCAACAGCTGAAAAATCATTTTAAAACTTATGAATTGTTTACAAAGAAAATTTCTAGAACAAAGGAAGGCTTTGGATCTGTTTTATAACTTCGATAGTTTTGGTCTTTCTCACTAGTACCATGTAATTGCTGGTCATTAAACCCTGATAAAAGTTACGATTTTAAATACTGATTTTCAAGGCAGACAGGAAAGGCCCTTTTCACTTGGAAAATTGGTGTAACAAAATTCCTGATATTTTTACCTTGTTCTGTTATCAGCTGATCTAATAAATCTTTCAACTGTGCCCTTTTTCTCCTATGGAATGAGATTATTAAAAAGAGTTTTTTTTACCCATATTCTGATTGTTTATATTTTTAATTTTTATAAGGATTTCTTAAAGCAGAAATGTTTTTTTTAAACAAATCACCATCTGAAGGGCGTGTAACAGCCATTAGTTGAATAGAATCACTTAGCTCAACAAATAAAGAAAAATTTTATATTACAAAAAAAAAAAAAAAAAAAAAAATAAAAATAAATAAAATAATGCAACTCTCTTCCAGCTTTTGGCTTTCCAAAAATAATATCAATCATTATGTTCTGTATTCTTAATTCCTGTTCTTTTATTGTTCTCTCTCATTAAAGTTTTCTTTTTCACATATTCTCTCACACTCAGTAACCCCCTTGTGTCTTAGTGGCTTTACTGCCTTGCTTGGGATGAATTGTTAAAAAAAATAGATAAATAAAAATAGATATACTGTAATATAATAAAAAGAGCGAGGAAAAGCAGAGTTTTCTCCCTTAGGAGTCCTTTTCATTCTTTTACTAAATTCTCAGGCAAACATTCCAAACTAGCAAAACTGACACTAGACAATCTTCTTAATGACCACGTCTCCTTATTTGGCCCTGTCCCATACAAAGCAAGGCTTAATAAATATCAAAGAAAGAGCCATTTTGATCAAAAGAGAATGCATATAAACCAAGATTTTCACAATATACCAAAATATGCAAAGGAATAAATTTTGATTTTAGGATGTTTATATTAAATAATTCACTGCTTAAAATGCACTAACAGAAACAAGTATAATGATGAAAGATTTCACTGATGTCCTCTTTTCAAACAATAAAGATTAGGTTATTGGATTTGATAATAAAAATATTTACTAAACAAAGCCATCAGAATTAGTCAGACACCAAGTGAGGATCAAATTCACTTCTCATGTGCCGTGTCCTTTCAGGATGTAGGCAATCATGGTTCTCCACTTCCCCCTATTCCTTGTGGCTCTCAATAAGTTTTGTCCCTTTGCTACTTCCCCCAGGCCATATTCTGTCATCCACTTGCTTAAGCCCACTAGGTATGTCATGTGTTGCTTTCCTTTGTTTCTCTTTCCCTCTATTCGAACTGTGAGTATCAGATTCTCCAAGCCCTCCTTTCTCATTACATGCCCCAGAAATTTCAGCTGCCTCTTCCTGATGTTAAATATAAACTTCTTCCTTGTTTGCATCCTCTCCAAAACCTCATCATTGTTCACACACTCGGTCTATGATATCCTTAGCATCCTTCTGTAGAACAATAACTGCCAGCTCAAGTCTCTTCTTCATCTTTGAGGAGACCGTCCAACATTTGCTTCCATATTTCTCAGACACACTTGCATGCCATCATGTTGCTTACTGAATATTAACAAATCATCTAAAAAATTTTTTAAAATCTGACAGGAAAATATGAAAATATGGTACGATTAAATAGACTGGTCTATATATGAAAAGAAAAAAAAAAAAAAGAAAGAAAAATTGGGTTGGGGAAATAATTTTTGTAGATTATCTTCTTTTTAGTTCTTAGGTTGTGATGTGACACTTGTCAGAACCAAAAAATATTAATTTTTTTATCATTTTAGAAAGGGGGGCATGTTTATAATAATACAATTTAAAAATAGATCCCTGCCTACTTAACCTATTAAACTGATAACCCTTGTTTATAAATGTCAAGTTTGAAACTGCTTTCATCATTGATGTCACCAGATAAATCTCATTTGAGTATTGCTTGTTTAAAATATTTTCTGAAAATAAAACAGGTAAAAATGTATATATCTGTTTGTTCTTTATTCAAAAGAAATCTTTTTGTAAAAGCCTGTTTTTGTATGCAGATATCAATGATGTAAGCAGTTTCAAACTTGACATTTGTAAACAAAGAGATATCAGAACTTAACAAAGAAATCAGGGATCGATTTTACACTGTACTTATATTATGAACAAGCCCCCACTTCTAAAATGATAAAAAAAAAAAAAATGACAATTCTGAAAAGTTTTGCAGCTTGAGGAAAATCTAAAGAATCCTAATCTACAAAAATGATTCCACGGAAGATTACCCACCCCACTTATATTTTTATTTTAACAAATGAACCAATCTATTTAAATAGTGCCCAAATATTTTGCAAACAAACATTTGTGTGTATAAATGTCTATGGAGATGAAAAGATTTTGTGATGTAAAATTGATAAAGAGAGATGGAAAAGAAAACGGACAAACCTTTTGCCTTTTCTTGACCATCTCCCACATGGTTTCCAATATCTTCTCCTTCATGGTTCACTCCATTATCAACAGCAACATCATGGTCTACAATTGGTGGTTGCTTGGCTGAAACAGCAAAAACACAAGTTATATGCTGTTATATAGGAATAAAGTGTCGCTGCCAACACTGGAGTTTGAACACAAATCACCATAGAGCAAACACAGGCAATCACAATTTGAACAAGTAGATCATGTGATGGTAAAAGGAAACATATATATGGGATTTAGCATGGCGTCTAGGTGATCACTATACGGATTATTATTCAGATCACTATTTGGTGGTTACTTTTAGAGCGAGTATTATTGAACAAGTACTGTTAGAGTGAGTGTTATTTGAAGATGTCTGACACCAGTATTGTTCAATGGCATCACTATAGTTGTATCTGTGATTACAAAGTCTCTACTACAACAAGCATTACAAAGTGACAACGAGTATTCATTGACATTACAAAAGTGGCAACAAGTGTTTGTTGACATCTCAAAATATGCAAAATAAAAAAAAATAAAAAAAAAATAGTAAGTTACCCAGGTCGATATACCGCTGATGAAAGATGTGATAACAACAAAAATGAGGACAATAGTCCGAATATAAATAGTGTAAATAATGATAATTCCTCATCCCAGAAATTCAGAGAGAAGGCAGTCAGATTATAATAACAACAAAGATGTGGACAATAGTCCGAATGTAAATAGTGTAAATAATGATAACTCCTCATCCCAGAAATTCAGACAAAAAAAAGATAAGTAAATATGAAAACAATAAAAAAAATATAGTTGAAACAATATAGTCTTCTTTTATACACCATGTCTCTCAGGATGTAGGTGATCAGGACTCTCTACGTGGTCTAATCAAAAAGTATCAGGACTGTTGCTAGGGTAACGGAACTAAAGTATGAAGAGTGAAGCCACTTGGCACAGATTGACCTTGAACTGTTGTGCACACTCCCTAAATCATAACTTTCTTGCTCACTTCCATTGTTTATAGCAGAACTTGGAATGAAAGTGTGTAGAGTGTGGTCATTTTGCCAAGGTTCTATCAGTGACCATGGCAGAGAATCTGCATCAAATTTTGCCTAAAGCTTGGTGATACCTGTGCAAAGTTGCAGAAAGTGTATGGAGAGGAGAAAATGAGCCAGATACAAGTGGTTCAAACATTTCCAAGATGGCTGACCAAATGTTGACAGTGACGCACATTCTGGCAGATCCACAACCACCAGAACTGATGGAAAAAAATCACAAATGTGTGTGCATCTATTTGGAAAGACCATCAAATCACTCTGCATGCATTGTCAGAGGATGTGAACATAACTCATAGTTCAGTTCAGTCGATTGCCACAGAAGATTTGGGTATGAGATGCGTTTCTGGCAAGTTTGTGCCAAAAGTGTTTTCAGGATCTCCTTGATTGTGTCAAGGAAGACCAAAATGTTTTCAAAACAGTTATTATGGCTATGACCCTGAAACCAAGGCTCAGTCTTCACAATGGAAGAACCCCAACCTCTCAGAGACTGAAGAAATGAGTTGAAGCAATGTGAAGACACTGTTGACAGTTTTCCTTGGCTTCATCATAAGTATGCTCCATCAGGTCAGACAGTAAACAATGAGTACTACCCTGACATGTAGTGTATGCGGAATACTACTTGTTGGAAAAGAACAGAATTGCATGCATCCGTCAAGTAGCAACATCAACATGACAATGCATCTGCCCATTCAGTGCAGCTTGAGAAGCAGATTTTGGCCAAACACAACATACACTGAATCCAACAACCACCGTATTTTTCCGGATCTTGCCACTTGTGACATTTTCCTCTTTCCAAAAATCAAATCTCATTTGGAAGGAACATGATTTCAAGATGCTCAAGAAAATGCTACAAGGCAACTGCTCACTATCCCCAAAAAAGAGGTTCCAAGAATGCTTCCATCAATGGAAATGATCTTCATTCATCATTACCATTTTAACATAAACCCTCTACTTTGAATGTCTCTTGACCCTTATATTGGATGAATCGCATCAGAAACAGATATTTTTGTTTAATTTTATTAAAGCAATTTACTTCAAGTAAAAATATTGCATTCAAGAAAATAATTTATAAAAATAGTATTCTGAAGATTTTTTATTTGTAAACTTTACCAAAAATCATCTCTTGCAAATACCTGTGTGTGTGTGCATTTATTTTATATATATATATATATATATATATATATATATATATATATATATATATATATATATATGAGGTGTCAATGGGAGGAGATAATGGAGTTTAAATCCATCCAAGACAGCATTTATCAACTGGTGCACACTAGCATACTAATGCACTCTGAAACGCTCCAAGTTAACAAAAGAGTAAATTAATAAGTATTTTTTTTATTTTTAAGGAGCTAGACATGCCAAGCACATCACTTCCATGTCTAAATCAAGATTTTATCATTTGATATTTTAAACTGGATGCTAAATTCTTTAATTATTAAGGAGTGGATAATCCTTTCATGTTTGCTTTTTCAAGGCATAACATAGAACATTAAAAAATTGCCAAAGCAGATCAATCATAGGTTTCATACAAGAATACTTAAATATACAATGTAATGTCTGAAAAATAAATGCTTATGTCAGGAGCCTTCTTTATTATTTTCCTATTTTCCAATTTCATGACTAATTTTTCCATATTAATATTTGAAGTATGTCCCCAGAGTTTTAGTTATTCTACAAGTTCACCGTTAAGTCAAAAAAAAAAAAAAAAAAAAAAGGTTGAGAAACACTGAACTAAAGCTGAAAGCTAATTTCTGAAGTTCAAAACAAGTACCCTTCAAACTCAAACATTTTCTTTGATTGTAGATTCTTATAAAATCTGCAATACTTACACAAACAAGGGTGTGATTATTAGTTGAACAAAGTTGATGTAGTGAAAGAGAAGCAGTGTTCCATAATGGAGGCGGTGTATTGGTACAATGTTACTCCGAGAGACAATAATGTATCGCCCTCAACTGCGCCAGCCAACATGATTTATCAGTACAAAGTCCGCTACGAGGCATTGACGCAACGCGTTCAACTGAACGGATAAAGAACATCGCCGTGATAACTTGGGCGTCGGCGTGTGGGTAAAAAGCTCCACATAGCTGGTGTACAACTCGGTACCAGGTGGGGCATGTCACTGGACTAAGTAACTTCGCGCTCTGTGCTGGTTGATGGCATACCAAGACACATAAAGGACTTGCGTCGCTATGTAGGTACAGATACGTCAACAAGTGACACTAGCAGTGAGTGCTCAGAAAGTGAACAAATAATTACCATAGGAGGTAGGGCTAGCACCTCTTCAGATGGCGAAGACTCTGTGCGTGAGGAGGTTGTCAGACCAGAAGAATCTTCAGAACATTCTTCAGAGGAAGACTCTGTGCATGAGGTTGTCAGATCAGAAGAATCCTCAGAACATAACACACAATCTCCTCCAACAGTCGCCCCGCTCCAGAGAAGCTTAAGAATAAAGAGGCCCACCCATGAGTGTCACTTATGTGACAGGGGGGGGGGGGTGTAGTGAAAGAGATAGTCAGGTACCCCGGAAAAAAGTTCGTGTTTTGTGTGCGTTCTGCCAAAGAAACATTACCAAAAAGTAGTCAGCAAAAATCTTATAGCGAAGAAAACGGCGACTTACCTCGTCAAACCAAGCGACAGCGCGTCGCATGTATTCTACGACAGAAAAAGTGATGAAAAATAAACAAATCCGTCGCAGGAGTTGCTATAACAGTATTTCGATATGCAAATTACGGAGCATCCTATCCCAGCTGTCGATGAATGAAAAAAAAATAGGTTCTGCCGATAAAAGCAGTTGGTGTTCTCGATTCGGGGGGGAAAATTCGGGCATTTTTGGCTTTGGCATTTGTTAGAGAGTGAATTATTTTTCTGACTGGTTACACGCATTGTGATTCGAGATAGTACCGGCGAATCGAGTTTTCAGCATTTCTTTCTGCCCCCAATATTCAAGTCTGTGCTTACAGTGATTTTCCTTTGCTTTCAGAATGCTTACACCTACAGTTGACTTGTGACTTTGTACTAACACAACTATTAGCAGATTCTGGACTGTTTCATCTACTCAATCTCACTCACGAAGCTTGGGTTAACCCATGGTATAGTTTTCAAGTACTTCCCAATAATGCCCCACATACTAGGATCATCTTCCCAGGCTGGTATTATCAAGAAGTGACCTCATTGACAAATCCACCATAGCAAGATTTGAACCTGGGATGCATGATCAGAATGTTAAATTTCCAACCAGTTCTAAACACCATGTGAGTGGAGGAGTCTCCTGCACATGATGTCATCAAACCAGTGACCAGAATGCAAACGCAGCTGTCAACTATAATGCTGGTGAGATGCAAATTCCACTCAAGCAGCTTTTTCACACTAACCACTGCTTTGTGGAACTGACTCCCAAGAGGATGCTTCCTTGATCACTACAATCTTAACCTGTTCAAGTCTAGAGTTAACTGTTATCTTCCCCATATATCAGCATAAACTGTGTCTCTTACCCTGTAATCCTCTACCTCAAGTGACTCTCTGGTCTTGTACAGGGTGAATATCAATAAAAAAAAAAAAAATAAGCATGGGTTTTTTTTTGAGTAATTGATTATTTTTATAGCTTAGCAAAGTGTTCACTGTTAAACCATAATGGAGATAATAATGATTTACTGATACAAGTCTTACTAATTAACCCATATCTGGGAGGGGAAGCGGTGGATTCATGCCTTTCCCAAGGGTATTTGTGTGTTAGTGAATATAACAAACTTGACTGGAACTGGAGCTGAGAACCAAGTTCCAATTCAGGGTCATTATCTGTTACACCAGCAGCACTTTCAAGCTTACAGCATCTGGTATAATCTCAAACAGTCACCCGTCTAGTTACTGATCAGGCTCAAGGTTGCTTAAGTTAACAATGTTCAGATGAGAACTTGTTCCAATGTGATATGCCCATAAGCCTAAATGGGCAGGAGAGGGGTATCTTATATATAGTATCAAATATAATACCTGCAATTATATCCTGGACGGCTTCTTTTGCTGCAATGTTGTCCTTAAGTCTTTTCTCTTCTTGATGTTCAGCATGATGACTTTTATCCTGGAAGTTTAGGGTCGTATATGTGCTAATCAACAGAACAAGGATGCCCATGACAAGCACTAGCTAAAAGATAGTGAAATAAAGGGAAAAAAATAGATGAAGAACAGTGTTTTCTATATAGTCCATCTTATATAAATTTCTATAAATTTCTATAAACATTTTCATGTTAATTGTTCTGATGAGCTTTCCTCTTTGATACCTCAACTTCATGAATTTAAGCATAGTGCTAGATTGGCAGTTGTTTTACTGTTGAAATTGTTACATGTAACCATAAGATCTATGCTAACATTTTCTTCTCTTGCACTTGTGAAACTCTTCTGGTTTTTTGCTTTCTTGTTAACTACGATCTGTAAAAATTTAAATACAACATCAATCGTCATCATCTGTCTTCTTGAATTCTGGTCTTTTATTGTTTTTTCTCTTAAATAAAGTTTTTCTCAGATTGAGTCATTGATTCATTTTCTATGGCTTATAAACTCTTTGCAGGTTATTTAAAGCCTGTAAATATTTTAAGGTTGTAAAATTTTTGGAGGGAGATAATGGGCATAGAACTGGGTGAGGGAAAAGAGGTGGATTCATGCCTTTCCCAAGGATGTTTGTGCATAAGTGAATATAATGAACCTAACAAGAAATGGAACTCATCTCTCTGATTAATAATCCCAAGCCATTATCCATTATACCATCCACACATCCAAGCTTACAGCACCTGGTATTCCCAAGCAGTCAGCCCACTAGGTAATGACCAGGCTCAACATTGCTTAACTTTGGTGATTGTACAGGAACCAGTGTTTAAATATGATGTAGCTATAAGCCAATTCTTGTATCTTAGTGGCCTTCTTGTATCTGAGTATATATATATATTATATATATATATATATATATATATATATATATATATAGAGAAATATCAAATGTGTGTGTGTGTGTGTGTGTGTGTGTGTGTGTGTGTAACCCTGGGTTTCACACTTATGCATTCCTCAGACAGAGTTTGAGGATCATATAAGCATGAAACCCAAGGTTACAAACTCATATCCATTCTACTAAATATGTTAGCTCTATCACTGATATTGAGTGCTTTCCAATAAGCACACACACACACACATATATATATATATATATATATATATATATATATATATGGGTTGCTGAAATATTCTGTTTGCTCCCAATAAAACTAAGAAGATAATAGATATTCTTATGAAAAGGGATACATGGGTATAAGCTACCTTCACTGAAAGTCTTCAACAATAACTATCATGATATAATTTGCAGGAGGATATTGAAAAAAAACTTTGTGAACAAAAGCTCACCTTATATGAAAGGCGGGGGAGGTGTAATATGGTAACATTTTAACATGGAGGTGGGGGCTCAATGAAATTTCTTTGTGCATCAGTCAAGATCATACAGTCCACAAACCCACAACACAGTTAATTGTGAACTTCATAATCTTTTCAATGGGTGTATAATAGGCACCAGTTTACATAAGTGGTTTTAAATTCAGAGTTATCCTTGTCAACCACAGCTAGAGATCCCAGTCTGCTTTGTTATTTAACCCATAGCTATTAGGAGATAGAATCATACACATCAGTTTGATAATGCATGACTATACAACAAATATCAAATCTGAAAATATTGACAATATCAGTCAGGGAAAAGAAATTCCTCTCTACCTCAGTTGAGAACCGAGTCCACAACTTTGCATCACATTTAATTGCATAATCTTTTCCATGGTTGTATAGTATATGCTTCACTAGGGTTACATGGTTTTTAATTCAGAGCTGTTTTTCTCCTAGACTGAGCTCTCTAGCCAACCATGGTTAGAAAGCTCAGTCTAACCTGCTATTTAAACCTTATCTTTGAGGAGAAGATTGAAAAACAGGTCCATAACTAACAATAGATAAATTAAAGTAAATGAAATTTTAGCATTTGCATTTTTGGGGATAAATTTCTGATTGCTAATTAAGTTTAAAGCAGGTTTCTAAAATAATCAAAGTCTGTTAAGAAGTGAACTTACCTTGGCTAAAGTCTTTCCTTCAGACGTCACAGACATGACTTTTAGGAAAAAAAGGGCTGGCATTATGTAACAGATTAATGTTCCCATCGTGGCACCATTTAAGCCAAGAATAAATTCCACTGAAAAGACAAATACACAAATGCCTCTCAATAACACATTTCATCTGTTAAAAAAAGACAAAAAACCCTGAAAATCTGCTCTTTTGGAAGAATATTAAACTAGATTCTACAGAAGGCTTAAATGGGGCTGCTAATTAGATATTAGATCACAGATTTGAACTATGGATTTATTGAATCATACCTTATTTTAAAATCATCACTATCTTGAACTGTTGGCCAGCTCAATACATAGACACACATCTATGCTTTCATTCATATAGCGGTATACTATGCTTAGTTTAAACTGTCACTTCTGTAGGTTTGTACCAGACTAAGATAATTTTTTATCCTGGATAAACAAAAAAAACAAAAAAAACAAAAAAAAAACAAAACAAACCTGTCCAATAAAAACCAATTTAGTTGTTCCCAAAGTCTTGATTTGTTCCAATATATAAATTTACAATAATCTCCAAAATTCAATTTAAATATTTGTGATTTTGAATACGTTTTGCAAAATGTGACCATCTGTGATTGGAACACTCGCAAAGTCAAAAAAGATAGTAAATGATTTCATCCTAGTCTGAAGTGTCTGGTGTTTAATGTATTGTATTAATGGAGTTTCCTTTCAACCTTTTTTTTGGTAGTAAGGAAAGCTAATAGCTTCATTATATATATTTTCTCTTCTGGCGATATGTGTTTCTCATTTTTGCTGTTGCTGCTGTTAGAAATCTTCAAGTGATGTGGTTTTCATTATTGGTCGTTTTGTAGCACCAGTCTTATAGGGTCTCATGAAGGATTGTCTTCTTTAAGAGTTAAAGAATTTGTTCATTTGAAGCTATTTTTACTTATTGATTTGAGAAAACAGTTGTATACAGTCAATAGTTTAGATATTTCTGAATAAGTTGGATGTCTAAATAGCATCTGTATGATTTAAAAACATGATTCTTGTGTTCAGGTCAAAACCACTACCTGTCCCAAGGTGTCATTGCAATCCCCAAATTAGATAAAGAAATTTACAGGAAACTATACTTGTCTACATCCTGAAAGGATATGGCATTTCGAAAAATAACACAGGAAATATAAACAGTCAGTTATCTGCCATGCGTGATACATGCTTAGGCAATCTTGAATCTTGATACATGACTGACGAGGCAGATTTTTTCCCCACAGTAGGTTGCCATTTCTTTCTGTGGTAGACCAGTTGCCATCCAAGGCTATAGAACCCAGTCTGTCCTCCTATTTACCCATAGTTGGTGGAAGAAGAAAAGAATTCATACCTTTCCCAAGGGTACAAGCATGTAAGTGACTGTAATGGATTCGAATGGAATTCGAACTCAGCTCAGGGAGTAATGGATAGTGGCTCAGATTGAGGAATCAGAGAACTGAGTTCGAATTCCAGTTGAACCCATTACATTCATTTACATACTAATACCCTTAGGAAAGGTATGAATCCTCTTCTTCTTCCCCCAGCTATGGGTAAATAGCAGGACAGACCGGGTTCTATAGCTTTGGATGGCAACTGGTCTACTGTAGAAAGAAATGGCAACCTACTGTGGGAAAAATCTGCCTCATCAGTCATGTATCAAAAGATACATGATCGTCTAAGCAAGTATCATACATGGCACGTAACTGACTGAATATAAACAGCTAGTATAACAATATTTTGCACAGTTTGAGATATCTTGTTCAATATTACACTGTTTTAAAATCAGATTCAACATTTGGCAATGTTTAACATTCGTGCCTGCAGAAAAAACGCTGTGTCAAAAGGATGGTTATTGCCTTGATACCGCTATTACCGTATACACTTTTGACTCATTTGGCAATGTTTATGGTTTTAAAAAATATTTAAAGGACATCAAAGACAATTGGTATTTGGTTGGTTTGAAAGAAACTCTGGAGAGAGTTTTGTCCAACCAACTGCATTGATTGATTCATTCATTTTCTACAGCTTATCTTCACATCCAAATTTACAACACCTGATAGTCTCAAACAGTCACCCATCTAGGTACTGACTGGATTTGCTGTAGATTAATTTTGGTGATCATACAGGAACTGGTCCAGCTAACTGCAGATAAGACAACATCGACCCTGCTTCATTTTATCAGGAAGACATGTAATTTCTGAAGGTTGGTCACTATACAGTGGTATCCTGTTAAAAATTACAGACATTCTTTAATTATACAAAAGGAAAACTTTGTCCACCTAATGAACACTCAAAATATTGAGTGTTTGTGGTCTCGCTCAAAATCTAAAATTAAAAGAATGTTTGGTTGAGAGGAAAAGATGCTCTCAACCTATTTTAGTGAATTTGTGATGAAAACACATGAAAGAAATCTCCAGAAAATTCATTTTTTCAAAATTTATAATTACACTTAGGTGTTTATTTAAATTTTCATGTTCACAGACATTTCTATAAATTTATGAATAAAAAAAATTCTTTATAAAATGGTAAATAATATTTCATTATAGTTGGTTCACTTATTTTTATAATCTTGTAAATATAAAATTATTCTTGTAAATAAGCAATATAATAAATGAATAATGTTTAATATCTTTGTTGCCAATTCTCAAGAATAAAGAAAATGTATACATCTACTTTCATATTTTGAGTTTTATTAAAATTCTAATCATCCCTTTTTAAAACAATAAGCATTACCAAGGGAGTCAAAAAATGTATATATTAATAGCAGTGTCAATGGAATAAGAGTCTTGACACACCATTTCTGGCATGAAGGTTGAACATTACCAGAATTCCTCACTATCATTCTATAGCTTTCCTTTAAACTGAGATGTTGAAGATTGTCTTTTCAGTTCTCCTCATAAACCCATTTTTCATTTCTAGTAATTATCTTGTCCAAAAGTATATATATCAGTGGCTACTCCAGGGATCAGGCTTAGCCTGAGTGCGTCAACATTCAAATATAATATCGTGTGTGCATCATTTTCATTCTTGATTTCAGTTGGCTCAAAATATTGACCAAAATACATTTTCTTGATATTGCTCATAATAAGAAAGAAAGAAAAACAAAGAAAGAAAGTAAAAAAAAGAATGAAATAAAATTAACATGGCTAGTCAGGCTGAGCCTGATCAAAGCTGGTGACATACTTAATAGGCAATGTATTTCTTGCTTTAATCATATAAATAATCTTTGAAAAATCTCTAATAACATGTATGCCCTATTTTTCAAAGAACATATTTTTATGAAAAGTTATTGTCTTCAAATGTCCATTTTAAATAATCTATTCTGTACATTATAAGGTTTTTACTGGAATTTATCTTTTGAGAAAGGACAAATTAAATTTAGCCTAACCTTAAATTTGGCGAAAACCAAAGTGGTAGCCTTAACTCAACTGGAGGATTGGAGCAAGGAGTGTGACTGGGATAGTGTTGAAGAAATATGATATCACTCACTAGTACTGATCATAAACTTGTACAATAAATTAAACTAAAAATTCACAGACAGAGAGATACATAAACACACTAATACATAGACATATATACAAACACACACTTGAGATATTTACACACATTATTTACAAAAAATATCTGGCTTTGTTTTCACTGTTTTTTCTTACATGTCTGGAAAATCTTTTTTAAATAAATGTTTATTTTTATCGAATTATTACAATTAATATTAAAATACCAAAATGTGTTTTTTTCTTTATTTCATGCACAGAAATTTCTAAAAATTATATATTTTGGTTAGGGTAAAGGAATCATTTGGAGAAAAGGGGTAAACATTTGAAGATCCTAAAATATATCCTGATTTGACATGTTCAAACAAATTGAGATTTCTGAGAAGAACTGAACTGTTTCTGTAGAACAGGAGTCTGTCACAGTGTATTTTTCTTACCGTTTGCTTATCCAGGATAAAAATGAAGAAACTTAGTCTTGTACATGACCACAGAAGTTTAATCTAAGCTTAGTAAATAGCTACAGGAATAAAACCATGTGGTTCATTATTGAGTTGTCAGATGATATAAGGAGCATTTAGTGTGGATTAACTTCAATCAAAAGATAAAGTTTGATTGTATTGTCTATCAGTGAGTATATATTAATTTTTTAGATTTTTTACAAGTGTAGTATTTTAATGATTTTAATACTCAAAATGCAAGAAAATAAGCAATGTTTTTGACATTTTATAAAAATTCAGCTTAAATGTAAAAAGTTTTGTAATTTATGGAGAAGGTATTGCAAATATTTGAACATACCAAAAGTGGAGTAGGAGAGGGAGGAAGGGGAAGGAGAGGGAGAAGGAAAGGGAGAGGTGGGATGGAGGTGGAGAGGGAGAGGTGGGAAGGAGGAAGAGGGGACGGAGGGAAGGAGGGAGGAGAGGACGGGGAAGGAGAGGGAAGACGGGGAAGGAGAGGAAGACAGGGAAGGAGAGGAAGACAGGGAAGGAGAGGAAGACAGGGAAGGAGAGGGAAGATGGAGGGAGGAGGGAGATGGAAGGAGGGACGGAAGGGGAGGAGGGATGGAAAAGGAGAGGGGAGGAGGGAGGGAAAACGGAGAGGGAGAGGGAGGGGGAAGGAGAGGAGGGGGAGGGAGAGGGAGGGGGGAGGGGGGGAAGGAGAGGGAGGGGGAAGGAGAGGGAGGGGGAAGGAGAAAGATCCAGCTTTTTCAGAGAAATCCCCATAAGTCACATAACAGCTGTTGTGTTAGATTTTCTTACCATTTGGCACAGACATTCCAATTACCATAGAAATAACGACAATTGCAATTGTCATTAGTTTGAAGTGTAATTCCGGGATCTGGTGGCTCATCTCAAACCCATCACTCGTCTTGGGCCTCTGTAAATAGATTCACATAATAGACGCAGTGCACTAAATGAACAAATCTAGTCTTCTACAGGCCAAATAAATTTCCCTTTTGAGTGAAATATATTAATCTCAAATTTAATAACTTTCTGTATGTTTACTAAATGTCAATCAATATATTTGACATTTACTGTCAAAACTATCATGAAATAATCAAACATTAAAAGATTGTTTTGTTTTTGTCATCACTTAAGAGCTTGTTAGCCTGGAATCCACAATTTAATCTCTTAAGTTGAGTAGCAGCATGGCATCGCCATATACACCAGCATACAAGCTGAGGGAACTGGTGATAAAGGGTCAGAGAATCAATATATGTATAATGGTTACTGAAGACTAGTGAAATGAATATAAATGTTGTTCCAATAATTTGGACAGATTTTAAATGTGAATTAAGTTTAAGCGCGTAATGATTTTTTTCTTTTTCTTTCAGATTTGGTGGACATTTTGGTGATATTATTTTTCACACATAATTGCCATGACTTAAATAACATGATCCAATAGAGAAATAAATAAATTTTCAACAATAACACTGATTTATTTACTGCTGACTTTGATCCGTCTTAATGAAAAACCTTTATATATAATCCGTCTTAATGAAACACCCTTTAGTAAATTTTTAAATACTGGGACAAAAATTGTTACAAAAACTTCTCATTTTTTTATATGCCCAGCATAAAGATTTAATGAAAATATTTTATAACCTCTTATTATTTCTTTAGACAGAGGAACAGAGACTTTTTCTCTGCTTCCTCAACTGCTTGCACATTAAATAACATTTCAAACCTACAGTATTACAAAAACAGAAATAACTTGACAGGCAAACAACCACAACTGCTATTTGATATGCTCTCTACAGGATAGCCTTACAAATGACTAAACCATAATTTTTCAACCCTCTAGTGACAGACTTCTTTTTGTGCCAATGTACCAGCTGTAAAGATAATTATTCTTCTAATATATGTTGTTATAGTTAGTAAATATAAAAAAAATAACTCACTAATGCCCACCATAAAATAAAGGATTAATTATACATAAATAGGCATGGGCACCTCAATATCATGTAATGGTTAGCACGCTTATCTTGCTAGGACAATTATGAATGAGTAGTGAGTTTGATAGTTAATCTAGTACATAGAAAGGTAGGTCCTGCGTGACAGAAGATTTCTGATATGATTTGAAGCAAGGTTTTACAGGGCTAGATGCTCTTCCTAAGGCTCAACTCAGAAACACACAATAGTTCAAATACACCGAATGTTTTTATCAAGACACCATCTCTCGGAAGGTGGCCATTCAAGGCTTCATACCCTATCCTAGCCTTATAATGGTTTATAAATTTTTATAAAAATGAAAATAGTTATCTGGTACTAATTATAGGTTTTAAAAAAAATCTGATATTAAATCTGATATTAATTTAATATGTAGTCTATTAATGTGTATCACCCTCAAAACAGGATAGTGGATATTAATAGGTTAAAGTATAGATAATAAATAGGTAATAACAAAAACATGAAGAAAAGAAAAAAACACAATCATTTGTGTAATATTATAAACAAAGAGAAAAAAAATTAAATACACAAATTGGTTTCAGAAACTATTTTTAATAATGTATTTAACAAAAGAACAAAGAAGCTATATTGATATTTTCAAGAACTTAAAAAAGAAAAAAAGAAAAGAGAGAGAAAGAATAAAGATTAGCTTTCATAGAGAAAACAAAAAAGAAAGAAAGCTTAAACTTACTTACCCTGGGGAAGAGCATTGTGTACAAACTTGTGCGGCAAGGAAATATGATTAGAGGGAAAGTGACAGCAATAGACAAAACAAATGCCATTTTGATTATATCAGTAAAAAGTGAAGGGGCTAACATATTGATTATATCTCCTGTTATTTCAGTACTGCAAAAGGCAATGTAACCAAAAAATCCAACCTAAAAAAAGAAAATAAATAACACAAAACAGTTAAAACAGGACATCTAATAGAATGTAAGAGAATTATTTACTAATCAAAATTTAAATTTTACACAAAATCAATCAGCATTCAGTGAGAATCAAATTCACTACTCAGCGTAAGCACTGAAATAGGACGTAAGATTTAATAATCGTGTTTTAATTTTTGATTGATGGAATTGTTTTCTACAGCTTAACCCTTTGCAGATTATTTAAAGCCAGAAAATATTTTTTCATTGTAAAAATTTTTTTTCTTGGAGATAATAATGATTTAGTGATACAAGTATAGCAGGATGGCAAAGAGGTGGATTCATGCCTTTCCCAAGGGCATTTGCACATAAGTGAATATAATAAATCCATCCGGAATTGAAACTCAGCTCCCTGATTAACAATTCTGAGCCATTATCCATTATACTACTTGCACATCCAAGTTTATAGCACCTAGTATTCCCAAGCAGTCACCCATCTATGTACTGAACTGGCTTGACGTTGTTTAACTTTAGTGATTATGTGCCAAATCAGTGTTTCAATATGATGTGGCCATAACCCTTGTGTTTGAAGGCAACGTTGATAGTTTTTATAACTCTAAATTATATTTCATTAAGTTTTTTAAATTCATTTTTTGACATTATTTTGTATTACTATAAATGTTATTTTTAGTGTTTGAGTTGTCATTCCTGTTTTTTTACCTTTAAGAGTGAAGTTACCATCAATAGTGAAGTCCTACTAAAGAAAGAAAAAATCAAACCTATATTCCCTTTTCTCATCAGGAAAACCACTCCTATAACCAATGTATGCCCTTACTAATAAGGTCATGGGAAACTGTCATGATAAGACAAGCCACAATCACTTAAGGGACACAAACCTCTCATTGGAACCTTTCAAATTCATACCTGTATCCTTATTTTTGTAACCAAAACATAATCAGTAATTTTTTAGAAAGGGATTTTTTAAAAATCCAACATTATTTCTTATTATAATTAATTTCATTCAGTTTTTCAAGATGTACAAATGAAGTCATTAGAAACGTGTGCATAGGACCGTACCATATATACTCAAGTACAGTGTGAGTTTTGTTGCATTCTGTGTCATCTCAGGATCCCCATGCTAAGAAATAAGAGAGTATCAATGAAAAGGGTTATTTACTTTTGGTATTCATTTTATTAAGTGGCAGCTTGGATGTCACAGGAAAAGTAATGTCACAGGAATGCATGTAGGAGCACAAATGTCACAGGAATGCATGTCACATGTTGGCCCAATGTTCCTCTGAGGGTGGGAGGCATATCAACACTTCAGAATTCTTGTGACCCTCTGTTGAATTCGCAATGTTTTGGACTGATATTCAAAACCCAGACAAAAGCAATCCATCACTGTCAAAATACCCCACCCACAAGACACTTTGGCCAATTGCTAACCATTCTGGCCCTGACCTTCGCATACTGTAAGTTTTTATGATCAGTTATTTTATGCAAAATATTGTAGGTCGCACTATACAAAAAATTACTTTTTTTTTTTTTTTTTGAAGGGGTTAAAAAAATGCATTTTCAGTGAGTGTTTGCACTATATATACAGGTAAATCTTTTTCTGAAAGGATTAAAATTCATACAAAAAAATTTAGGGGTCACACTATATACACAAAATCGGCTTATACACATTCAATGGTCACACATATGTATTAAGTTGGCTTACTACATATGTATATATTTAAAAACAGTGCTTTTTCCAAAGTGGGTGATATCATTCTTCTGGGGGATGGGGGACTTTTGAAGAATACAAAAGAGATGTTGACATAAGAGACCACAAAGGAAAATATAAATAAAATTAAAGTTTAATTTCATCAATGAAATGAAAAGCCAATTCCAAGTGGAAAACTTTCCTCCATATTTTGTAAATATGTGTGAAGGGCTGAAATAATGCCTAATTACATAATGTAATTCATACTGAAATCAAGTATTTACACTATTTACATTTCAGTCTGTTGTCATTGTCGTGTTCACAATATTTCCACCTGTTGTACACACTGGCTTTCTCCAAGTGATATACATTGGAATTTCGAACTGAACACTTTTTTTTTTAGTCCACTGGGGTAGATTGTTCTCGTTCCACATGCCATGCCTTTTCTGAATATCTCAGTTTCAGTTATTTCCCTTTCCGAACAATTTAAATAGCATAAATAGTTACAATACCTCATCTCAGAAGTATAGACAGAAGTGAAATCGAGATTTAACTGGGATGGAGCCCTAAGTTACTAAAATCCTTACTTACCAATAGATAAGCAACTGAACAAATATTGACAGCATTGCTGACAATCTTGTTGATCACCTTGAATGATGGTTCTGGAAGATCATCGTACAGGATGAATAACTGACTGCAGTCAAGAAAAAAAAGGAATAGAAAATGTTAATAAAGAAAAGCAACACTCATTAAATATTTATATCAGCAAAATAAAAAGCTTTTCAAATCATCCACAGCTATAACAAATTAAGTACAGGAGAAAAGGAAATGGAACACAGAATAGGTTGTGCCACAAGTAGTTTCACCCAACACCACAAATTGCTACAAAACAAAAACATCAACCTGAAAACTCTAGATATGTCCAGTAGCCTTGATCTGGATTTTAAGTCATGGTTGTTTTTTGTTGTTGCTGTAGCAGGATGTGACAACACAACTGTGAAATTTAAATATACTCTTATTTGGTGATTGGAGACAACTGTAATGGCAGGACAAATATTTTCCTTGGTGAATGAGGTTGCCTAAAAAGTGTTTAAGGTTGAGATTTTCATATGAAGCCAAACCAGTTCAGAAATATCTGAACTATCATCTGTATACAACTGCTTCATAAGGTCAATAGTAAAAAAAAAAAAGGCTTTGAGTGAGTAAAGCCCGAGGGTCTTAGCAAAGGTCATTCTGCTCTGAACATTGTGAACTGGTGCTACAGAATCACAAACAAAGAACTGTGCCAAATAAGAGAAACCATATCACTTGAGGACTGCCAACAGCAGTAACAACTAAAACGGATAGCACATATAACTCGAAGAGAGAATAATGACATAATCAAGATGTTAACATTCCACACCACATAAAATACTGGAGAGAACTATAACACCTACCTGGACTTGAGAAAAAACTGTTTTTTTAGGAAAACAGTTAAGAGAAATATTTCATAAATTTCAACTGAAAACAATATTGGCTGCTCAATCAATGTATGCCAAATCTTTCCTTATAGGGAAACAGCTAATATTAATATTACTAGTTATTGTTGTCATATTTCAATATGCATTAGTAAGTGAGGGACTATAGAATATGATTCTTGTGAAATGAGATTGTTTACAATCATTGTGTTTTAGACATGAATAAACCAAGAGGGAATAGAGAAGTTGAGTATTCAAGAACCAAGTGCTGTCAAATGATAGGGTTTTCTGAATATGAACACTGAAAGCTAGACCAGACTTTTTTTTTTATTTCTTTTAACAGACATTACAATAAATGAATTAAATGCTATTTGGAACTAAATCTGGTTTAGGAATGCACTGATTAATCAGCCAGATCAGCATTTACCAATTAATCAGTCATCAGCATTTGGATTTATTTTTTTGTTATAATCATATTCAATATTGAAAGTTAAATGCTAATTATCAATATTGATAATTAAAAGAGAAATGTCATCCTTGGCTTAAGAATCGTTAGTTATCTTAGACATAGAATGAATTTAAATAATATTCTGACAGCTTTTTCAGTTCCTTTTCCAGCTAATCTTTATTGAAAGGTTTATCCCTTGTTTCTGGTTTAGGATTGTGCTTCTTTCTAAAGTTTACTTCAAATTCTATCATCTCCGCCTAAACCCTGAAATTTTATTTAATACTCATTTATTTTCTCAACAATAGAAGAACGTGAACGATTCTTTCCTTAGCTGCATAATATATGCTTTGTCAGGGCAACATACATTTTTGAATTCAGAGTTTTCCTTCTCCTAGACTGGTTGCTACCTAAGGCTATAGAACCCAGCCTGTCCTACTATTTACCCATAGCTAGGGGAAGAAGAGTTGAATCCATACCTTTCCCAAGGGTATTAGCACATTAATAAATGTAATGAACTTGACTGGAATTTGAACTCAGCTCTCCAATTCCTCAATCCAAGCTGCATTCAAGGAATCAGAGAGCCAAATTCAGATTCTAGTCAAGCTCATTACATTCACTTATGTGCTAATACCTATGGATATATTTATAAAAAAAAGAAGTATATTTCAAGAAATTAAAAAGGTTTCAATACACCAAGACCAGGGGGTAGAGCTCTGAAACACTGGAAAGATAAAATTAAAATCTTCTTTTACTCATAGCAGAAAAAAAAAAAAAAAATAGCAAAAGACAGACCTCAATGGAACGATTGTGTGAACAAGTGTTGTGCAAGGATCCAGTCATGGATTATGCATCTAAAGTAAATTTTTCATTAATTTCTTTTTTTACCAATCTTTATTAAGAGTAATTAAAGTATCGATTATCATCCAATTAATTGGTGCGACTTTAATCTGATTATCTCCTCTTGATTTGATTTAGCAAACCCAAAAAATCAGTAACATCAAAGAAATTTAAAAATCCAATATTTCATTACCCAGAAGTAACCAATCAATGCCTGCCACAGAATTGGAGTGTTCTGCACAGACTCCCTTGATTACAACTCTCTACCAATCAGTGACATTCATTTAAAGCAGTCTGTGAATGTTAATTCTTATTGGAAATCTACTTTAAGTGATTTCACATCTTTTAAAAGAACATAATTCACATCATTACTTACAGCAAAGTGAAATATATAATAATGATATATACAGTTTACAAATGTCTAATCAATGACAACTAGTATTTTTTCACCTTAATTTTAGTTGTTTTTCATTGCAAATATTTAGAACAGGCATGGGTCACCTTTTATGAACAGTGGGTCATAGGAGGTACAGTATGTCATAAGTGATGTAATGGAATAACCTGTCACCCTCATGAGTGACTACACTATATGTAGTAACTACCTATAAGTATCTGTAAGTCAATGGACTACAGAGACTAGCTGGGATCTGTTGAGTACGACTCAGACTTACGCAAGAACTACCAACTTTCCAATAGTAGCACTCACTACTAGATTGACTTGCAACGATCTCATGCATAACTGTTACCTTTATTCTTATTGTACTGGTTTTTTACAATAAACCTTTACTTATTTTATCCACCTTGTTTTTCAAGTATATATTCCTATTACCATGGAATATAACAATAAGGCATGCTGCATTACTAAAAGAATAATCAACATCATGTTCTATCAAAAGATACCAGAGCCATTTTCACAACAAAAGACCATGCACATAAGCATCTGCTTTAGAAATGAGGAAAAGTCAACTTCTTTAAAGAAAAAATTCCTTTGATAATTAAACTAAACTGAAATCTTGATATAATCACTTGGTATATCACTGATGACAGTGTGATTAACAAACGCTGCTGCATGTGATTTTTTTCTAATTTATTCATTTGAGTATACAAAAAATATTTGCTAAAAAAGTATATTTATTCTCTAGAGATAAAACAATTATAATTGAAATTTCCTGTTTCTGAAGCAAAAAATGTTTACACGTATAATCTTCCTTAGAGAAAATTGCCAATGGTTTAAAATACTGACAATGTTACATTCAACAAAAAGTTCTAAAATTCAAGATACATTGTACTTGATCATTGTTTATGTATATCGTTATGCATGAGAGTATGTGAGTGAACAAGTGAGATTGACAGAAAAGAAACAACATTTTAATAAATGTTATTTTCGTCATGAAATTAGGCATGCCATTCAATAAACCAATAAGGCAGCAGGAGTTCTTAGTAAGCTTTGAACTCTTATCTGCTTGCCCCGGGAAACCTAATGGGATACTTGTCCAATTACAGCCAACTGAAGAGCAATAAAAAAAAAAAAAAACTGCAACATTTCTTCAGGTTACTACTACAGCTAGTAATGTAATGCACGATACTAAAGACACCCACGTGAGGTGGTTTTATCTCAATGTCAAGTGTTCCTGTTTGATGAAGCAACAGATGATTCCTATCGAAGTTCAGTCTTGCATAGGTCTCTATCTGAAGGAGTCAAAAACTGAATACATGAATAAATGTACAGCCAACAATGACCATCCTATAAGATCCCTTAATAACACCAATTTGAATGAAACTTGAAGATTATAAATATCTAGGATCATTCATCTCCTCCTTAAAAGACTTTTTGTTACAAACAAAGAAAAGAGTACTAAACTCTTATGTAATATCAGTCCTCCTATATGGCAGTGAATGGTGGACAATCTCCTCACAGATGAAAAAGACAGAGATTGATAGGTCCCTAAACAAAATCAATCAAACCAAACAGATGAAGAAGGGACTTCAAGCAACAGAAATGTAGTTCTACAGAAAAATGCTGGGAATACCATGGATCAAGCATGAGCAATATCAAAGTTCAAGAAATTGGAAGCAGTAAGAACACATATACTTAACATCAGGAAGTGATCATTGAAATTTCTAAGGCACATAATGAGGAAAGAGGGCTTGGAAAATTTGATACTCACAGGACAAATTGAAGGCAAAAGGGATAAAAGAAGGCAATGCATATCCTACCTAGCAAGCTTGAGTAAATTGATGGTGGAGTGAGGTTTAGGAGAGAAAAAAAAAAAAAAAAAAATTGTAGGACAGGAAATTGTAGAGAGCCATGATCATCAACATCCTGAAGGGTCATAGCACATACAAGAAGAAATGTTAACAATATTGATAATTAAAATATGCTCAAGTACATTTAAATTTTCAACATTTATCAAGGAAATGAAGACTTTTCTTAAAAGATACTTACGTTTGACATCCAAATGCTAAAGAAAATATTGGGATGCACTGAAATAAGCCTTCAGTTCGCCAATATCTGACCTTCACTACCCAATTCCCTAACCACAGATTAGGAATTGAGAGGAAAATCATCTGGGGAAAAAATTAAAAAATATTGCTTTTCAATAAATTAAATAGCATTTAATAAAAAACAAAGCAATTTACACAAATTTAAGTACAAAGGATGTTTCAAAAGTAATGAATTGTATTTATTTCCGCAAAACTGACAACTACAGGGAATACAATAACACTGTTGGACAGAGCAGGTTTTCAGCTATAAAACTATTTTTCTGGTTACCACCGTGCCTATGTATTTTTGCCAGTGGTGAATGCGTGACATGCTCAACAATCTGCAGCAATAGAAGTGACCTACTTTGCCAGAGCAGTGATGCTGAAGTACATTACACACTGCTTAACTGTACTTACATCTACTGCTTGATTTCTGATGCATGTGAATGAGTGAATTTTTCCAAAAAAAAAAAAAAAAAAAAAAAAAAAACGAATGAAAAAAGTCAAATGCCATTTTGCCAGCCTGCAAGCTGTAAGACAGTAAAAAAAAAAAAAAAAAAAAAAAAAAGAAATTATGAGTTATTGACAAAGCTTTGAATTCTACTACCATATCACCAATTAACCAATATAATAGGAAAGATTACTTTCTGAGGAGAACATGGTTAAGGACTGTGAGTACACCATCCCATGCAGCTGGGGTAAGAAATATAAAGAAGAAATAGGCCACCCCCTTAAGATAAGACTGCAAGAACATTGTAAAGTGGTAACACGAGAGGAAATAGAAAAATCAGGCATAGCTGATCATATATGGAGGAGAAAAGGAAGCTCACCACTCCCTGTGGGATAAGGTTGAAATAATAGAGAACATCAATGAAAAACACAAAAACTTAAAGAATCAGCACATATGCTAGGCCACAAAAATCTAAGCTGGCCAAGCACAGAAATGAATGCAATATGGGAGCCAGTAATAAGGAGTGCTAGAGAAAACAATAATTACAACAAAAAATGTAAAAAATGGCTATTGAGATATCAAATTTATAAATCCCCAAAATTCATACATTCATGTCCTCAAGGACACATGGCCCAGTGGATAAAAGCGTTGGTTGGATCCAGTGACTTGATCCAAAGAGCTGGCTACTGCAGAGGTGAAGAAAAACTTGGAGAATTGAGTTAGAGGGAGATAACTGAGACATCCGGAAGAGGCACGGCACGTGGAACCAGAACAATCTACCCTGGTGGATGAAATAAAGGGTTCAGTTCAAAATTCCACTCACTTGTAAAAGGCCAGAATATACAACAAGCAAGAAGAGGTGTCTGAAGTGTTGAACCACTTTTGAAGGTTGTCCTGATGTTATATGGACCACAGATATTTTGTATATTTTTTCCAATAACCCCTCCACATAGGGTAGATAGACCAAAACCGTTTTCTGAGTATTGTTAACCTCTTGTACCCCCAGTTTGTCGGAGCTGCCTCCATGTACCCAAGGTAGTTGTTACATTGTAGAGTACTGCTTATACTGAGCAGTTCATGTCTCTGGATTGCAACTTATGACTTTTCCTCGATGCCATAAGCAGTGGACAATCCCTTTCTTTACACTCTATGGGTGGTAGGAGTTGAAGTTAAAGTCCTGTGAATGTTGGCTTGTGATATATGGATGTATTGAACCCATGTTCTGTTCAAGAATATTGGAACAGGAATGCTAGTTTATTTTCGTTTTCATTCTCCATTGTGAACTGTATCGATGAGCTAATTGGTGTAGCCAGAGTATGAAGGTGATATCTACGTATCTCAGCCATAGAGTTGGCTCTAGTGATGATTATATATATATATATATATATATATAAAGAAAGAAAGAGATATATAAACATATATAGGTAAATGTATAGCATAAATCAATATTCATTTCATTTATTTTAATATTTGAAATGACTATCAGGACAACTGTTACAGCAAATTGCTACTTGACAAAAACAATTTCATTAATGCCTAGACATTATTTTAGTGTTCAAATTGATTTATGATGATATGTTACACAAATGGACAGTCAAGACACAAAATGAGTGGTGGGGAACGACAAGCAGATAATTAATAGATGTGAGTAGGTTATTAACAGTGTTTTATGTAAACCTTTGATTACCTTGGGAGAAAAACAGGTGTTCCCATCTCTGACTGGATTAAGTAAGAAGGTTCAGACCCCCAACCCCTGCACTTAAGAACTATAAGAAACTATGAGAAAACTATATAGGAAGTTTCTAAAAGATGTCACCATAACTTGTTTTTTTGTTTTTTTTTGAGTATGAGTTGGAGTTAACAAAATTGTTTGTAAAAAAAAAAAAAAAAAAAAAAAATTAAATTTTTATATATATATATATGTGTGTGTATGTGTGTGTGCTTAGTCAACAGAGGCAACCAAAAAGAAGAATGACAGAGTAAAGCAGAAAGGGAGAAAGCAATGCAGAGAGACAAAAAGCAAATATAACACAAAAATAGTGGGATTGGAGTGTAGGTCATCTTAGATAAAGGAACTCGTTTGTAATGAAAAGTTAAATCATGTTTCACAACCTAACAATCTGTTGAGGATAAAGTTGTCCCTGAACTGCAACTGACCTTTTGAAATTAAAATTACAGAGAGTGAGTTGAGTGGGGGGGTCAGCTTAGATAAAGACAGTTGTTTGTGTGAGAGGTTAAATCATGTTTTTATGACCTAACGATCTGTTGAAGATATTTCAGTATTTTTAAGAGAGACTATGTCACTCTTCCTACAACTATCTAGGAATGGTCATGGGTAGAAAAGTATAGAGTTCATCATTAAAAAAATTATTAGTAAATCCCTGCCAATTACATAGATACTTGCTAGTATATATATTAATATGTTTGTACCTACCTGTGTATGTTGTCTGTCACACTAATCCTCTTAAACCCAAATCATGTTGAATGACCAAAAGGAAAACGGAAACAGAGAGGGACATAAAGAGTAAAACAGAAACAGAGAGAGACATAGAGTGAGAAAAAGAGAGAGTGGCATAGAGAGATGATTTAAAAGAGTGTCATCTTAGATGAAGGCAGTTGTTTGTATTGAGGGGTTAAATCATGTTTTATGATTGGTTGATGACAAATTTGACCCCTGAACTGCAAGTGATCTTTTTGAAATTAAAATCTTCATGAATTTAATCCAGACTGTGTTGTGCATCCAAGAGGGAAACAAAGTGACAGGGACATAGAGAGTAAAACAGAAGGACAGAGAGAGAGAGAGTAAAACAGAAGGACAGAGAGAGAGAGGAAAACAGAAGGACAGAGAGAGAGAGTAAAACAGAAGGACAGAGAGAGTAAAACAGAAGGACAGAGAGAGAGAGTAAAACAGAAGGACAGAGAGAGAGAGAGAGAGAGTAAAACAGAAGGACAGAGAGAGAGAGAGTAAAACAGAAGGACAGAGAGAGAGAGAGTAAAACAGAAGGACAGAGAGAGAGTAAAACAGAAGGACAGAGAGAGAGAGAGAGTAAAACAGAAGGACAGAGAGAGAGAGAGAGTAAAACAGAAGGACAGAGAGAGAGAGAGAGAGTAAAACAGAAGGACAGAGAGAGTAAAACAGAAGGACAGAGAGAGTAAAACAGAAGGACAGAGAGAGTAAAACAGAAGGACAGAGAGAGTAAAACAGAAGGACAGAGAGAGAGTAAAACAGAAGGACAGAGAGAGAGTAAAACAGAAGGACAGAGAGAGTAAAACAGAAGGACAGAGAGAGAGAGTAAAACAAAAGGACAGAGAGAGAGAGAAAGGAAAACAAAGGGACAGAGAGTAAAACAGAAGGAGAAAGTAAAACAAAAGGACAGAGAGAGTAAAACAGAGGAGAGAGAAAACAGAGAGAGAGAGAGTAAAACAAAAGGACAGAGAGAGAGAGTAAAACAAAGGACAGAGAGAGAGTAAAACAGAGAGAGAGAGAGTAAAACAGAGAGAGAGAGAGTAAAACAGAGAGAGAGTGCAACACAGAGAGGGAGAGATTGGAGAGGGTGTCAGCTTAGATAAAGGCAGTTGTTTATAGTGAAAGGCTAAATCATGTTTCATGACCTAATGATCTCAGTATCTGTCTATATTTCTGAAATGAGGTATTATGTACATTATTTACATTATTCAGACTATTGTCCTCATCTTTGTTGCCATATTTATTACAATGTTTCGGCCGTTGTACCCTCCGGCTTTCTTCAGGTAGTTGGAATGTCGAACTTAACCCTTTATTTCGCTCACTGGAGTAGACTGTTCTAGTGCCATGTTTAATGGATGTCAGTTATCAGTTATCTCCTGTTAATTTCCCTCTGAAAGTTCTCCACTGCCTTAACCAGGTATTGAACTCACACTCTTTGGGTCCTGTCACTGGATCTAACAAATGCCTCTATCCACTTACCCAGTTAAGGCAGTGGGGAACTTTCAGAGGGAAATTAACAAGAGGTAACTGATATCCATTAAACATGGCACGTTGAACTGGAACAGTCTACTCCAGTGAGTGAAATAAAATGTTAAGTTCGACATTCCAACCACCTGAAGAAGGCCGAAACGTTGTAATAAATATGGCGACAAAGATGAGGACAATAGTCTGAATAATGTAAATAATGTACCTAATGATTTGTTGGGGATAAATTCACCCTTAAACTGCAAGTGACCTTTCAAAGCTAAAAATCACAGAGAAGAATTGGATTGGGGAGCATCTTAGATAAAGGCAGTTTCTTATAGTGATGGTTAACTCTTGTTTCATGATCTAATGATCTGTTGAAGACATTTAAGTATTTTTAAGAGAGTATTACTTATAACTATTTAGGAATGATCATGGATCAAAAAGTACAGAGTTCAGCATTAAAAAAAATATAAGTAAATCCATGTAATTTAATCAGATCCTTTAGTTTATATTGTTACATTGTACCAATTTTCAGCAATTCACCTGATTGTAGATGAAATAACACAGTCAAATCATAGTTTATACTCTAGTCAAAATAAAAATTATCCATTTTCTCAAAATAAACAGAGAAAGTCATCTACTAATGCTTTCATGACAACCATGTCTTTCTGGCCAAAAATACCATACTCATCAGGTACAGAAATTTAATTATCTGGGTAGTGTGGTAACAGACAATGGAAAATGTAATATAGAATCTTGAAGGCATATAGGAATAGCAAGAAACATCTTTCAAAAACTAAGCAAAGTTTTAATACAGAAAAATATCAATAAAAAACAAAGAAAAGCATACTGAACTGCTATGTAATATCTAATGTCTTATATGACAATGCTGGACAATTTCTTCACACATAAAAAGCAAGATGAAGTTACAGATGCAATTCTGCCAATGAATGCTAAGAATACCATGAACAAAATATGTGAGCAGCAAGAAAGTCTAAAGGAAACTAGAAACAACAAGGAAACTTATATTTACAATCAGAAAGAGAGAGATGAAATTTTTGGGACTGATAATGAGAAAGGAAGGCTTGGAGAATTCGAAATTCACAGGTCAGAAAAAGTGGAGTGGAGGCAGCTACTAGCAACTTAATAAGTTTGTGCAAATGCATGAGCAAACATTGATATAGATGTATGGTAAAGAGTAAAAAGTTACTTAGAGCAACAAAAGACAGGAAGCTGTGAAGAGCCATGATTGTCCTGAAAGCATTTGGCACATAAAAAAAAGAAACAGCATTTAGAGCTGGAGCCAAAGTAAAAGCCATGAATTTGCTGAATTTTAAAGCAAAATAAGCACAACATGATTTTGTGGTTTCCTACCCACATTTTTCCCTGATTTAACCTCATGCAATGCAAAATAAAGTTTAGTAAATATCGGAATGGTATACATTTGGTATTAGTAGCATGGGTGAGAGGTTGGTTCACTGTGGGTGACACTTTTATGCAGGCAGCACTTTTGGGTCTGCTGTAAAAGCTTGTTTAGCAGTGATTCTCAAAAGTGGGCAATGTTAACAGAATCTATTTTTATGAAAGAAACTTCTCCAAGTTCTGGATCATTTGATTTGGTCAGATGACCTTACAATGTGGAGGTCTTCATCCGGGTATTTGTATTTTTTGGTTGGCCCCAAAATTAAGCAAGTAGGCTGACAAAATCACTTGTTGTAAAAATCTGTTTCAGAGCAGTGCATTTACTACTGTTCACTGTTTCGCAGGTCAAGTAAACTATACCACAAAAACCCAGCAACTCCTGACTGAATTTATTTTGAAGTATTTTCTAACTTCTTGCTGGTGAGCCTTTATGTTTTTTCCCTTTTTAGCCACTGACCATAATCACAAAAACTAAAGGAAAACCTTTATTATAAAACTTAATTGGTCTTCTGTCGTTTCCTTTACTTTATCTTATTTCTTTTCTTATATATGTGACAGTGATATTGCCCTGACTGGGGTGGTGGAAAGATCTAGGGAGCAGTGATGAAAAAAAGCAAGCAGTCAATGGTAGCAGTGGCACATCTAAACCATAAAATACTCCTCCTCCCACCACACAGTACCTGATGTGTATCTTGCCTTTGCTTTACAGTGCATCACATTTATATAACAATTATGTTGACATGTAATACTAGCACCAAGAAAATCCAATCAAAAGCTGTCTATAGATTGAGGTAGTGGGGCAGGGGTTAGGGTTGTGTTTTGGTATGTGAGGGAGTAGCAACCCCAAAAAGTTTGGGAACCACTGCTGTAGTGAAATAAAAGTGGTTTTAATGTCAGGATACAACTCACAGTAGGACCATTTTGATTTTGAGACTCTTAACCTATGGTGTATGTATTTACAAATAATAAATATTATCCAATGATGTATTCAGGGCTGTTTTATCATTGTTGGCAATGTGAAACCTGTGAATAGACACAATGTGCATTCTTTGAATTATTTTCTTTGACAAAAGTTCATTCAAGGGTATATGTTGCTCTATTTTTCATCATTTGGGCCTATTAATAGTTTATATATATATATATATATATATATATATATATATATTAAGGAGTCACTGTGCAATGTGTTGTATTTTTTGTGGTGGGGATAAAGGGAGGGATGATAAACTCAAGGACTGCCTCAAGTTGCGCACACTCTAGCTATACTGCTACTTGGTATAAACATGTATACTTGTGACAAAGTAGCCTGGTGAAAGAAAATTAAACATGAAAAATATATAAGCTGGAAACGGTCTAGAAGAGTTAAAGGATAGAACGATAGAGAAAAGCAACAAAAAAATGTTTCTATGTTGTTCAAAAAGAAGAAAAGAAAAACCTTTTTTTTTCTTTCTCCTTTCTTCCTAAAAGACAGGACAGCTGATAAAAAGCAAATCCTGATATTTCTCTTTGTGATGGCCACCTGGTTGAAAAGTATACAAAATTATTTTGAATTTCTTCAGATAAAAGCCTGAGGATAACTTAAGGATTTGATTAATGACCAGTCGAGGGGTGGGTGGATGCCAATGCACAATGGGTTTTTGGATGGACCCTAGGAAATGTACTTCAGTTATATTAGGGACAGCACGGACTGAACATGGTTAAAAAAACATGAATTATGCATCTGCCCAGTGCTGAAAGAGGTCACACTATGGAAAAAAAAACGAATTTTAAAGATCTTCCCAACCGATAAATATAGCAGATGTGAGATTATTGACAATCAAAGAAAAGATATGATGGACGACCACCAAAGCTAGGCCTGGAAGGTTAGGTGGAAGGAGGAGTTAACTCCACCCAGTCGGTGGTGGTGTAAGCAACAGTTCAATGAAAGTGGCAAATGTAAGGCGGCCTGAAGGAATGGTCTCAGGTAAAACATATGGCTCTGAAGATAGCACTGGTGAGAGATATGGTTCTGAGGAAGTGGGAGGAACAGGGAGAAGCAAATCCTGTGACCACTCCCTGCAGGATTAGATAATTCTCTAATTTGGGAACTATGATACCTCATGAGAAAATGCTAAACAAAGAGGCCTTGTTAGAATTGGATTAATTAATTAAGGCACTTGGGGAAAACAAAAAACACCACCCTGCACCAGCTAAGAGTTAGAGGTCCATAAAAGCAAAACACTTGGGGTATTTTAACAGAACATTGAGATCAGTGGGGCACAGTGAAGACAGCTGGGTAGAGACAGAGGAGAGCTGAGGCTCAGGAGATGACCAGCCAGATCCAGACCAGCCACTGAAAATTACAAGACTGGAGAACAAAAACCAAAACTTACCCGATCTACAGAGTGTTTCCAGCAAAGTGAAAGCCAGAAAGCCACCTATAGATTCATGTGGGGAGAGTTGAACTCTAGTTGTATTCTAAATTTATATAAAATTGTTGAATTTGACCAGTGAGTTCCTGTTGTCATTCCTGTTTACAGGAATAATTATTTTTTTATTTGTGTAACCAGCACTGTGGTGATTCGATACATCTAGTTCCTGCAGGGTTCAATCTACATCACCCTGAGATCAAAAATCACAACATGTCAACTCACCATGTCATGTACACAACCTGTCAGGGAGGTTGTAGACTGAACGACCAGCAACTGCTGACCAGGTTTTGGACTGGAGCACCGTGGTAACAGGTTATATACTGTAGTTATGCTATTTGCCTGTCTTATTATTTTTTTTTTTTTTGGTTTAGATAAGAAATATAATATTACAGATAACTTAACCCTAAATTTGAAGAGGTCAAGATTACAGTGATCAAAGAAACATCCTGCTACAAGCCTAT